TCAGTTCTGGTCTTAACAAGCTTTCTCCAAGATCACATAAATGTGTTTTCTTAGGGTTTACATGATCACAAAAAGGATACAAATGTTTTTCTCCTTCTCTTAACCGTTATTTTGTGTCAAAAGATGTCACCTTTGATGAGTTGTCTCTTTATTTTAAAAGTCAATCTTCACCTCTGTCTCCATCCAATCTTGTCAACACTCCTAATACATTTAATGTTCCTGTTGTTTGTGACCCTCTAACTGTGTCTTCTTCACCATTAGTTCCTGCTCCGCAGTCAACTTCTTCTCCACTGCCTCTTCAGATTTATAGTTCTCGAAACCAATCACAACCACCACCATGTGACTCTACTCAAGTGTCAACTACTATGTCTCCTCCGGATCTGACACATGAGTCTGACCTTCCCATTGCCCTCCGAAAAGGTATTCGTTCTACACGTTATCCCTCTCTCCATTATATTGCTTTGAGTTACCCTCGACTGTCAATACCTTTTTATACATGTTTTTCCTCTATTTCTTTTGTGACCATTCCAAAAACTGTTCGTGAACTTTAGCCCATCCTGGTTGGCGTCAGGCCATGTTAGATGAACTAAGTGTTCTTCATAATAGTGGAACTTGGGAATTGGTCCCGTTACCGTCTGGGAAATCTGTTGTTGGTTGCAAGTCGGTGTTTGCTATCAAAGTTGGACTTGATGGTACTATTAATCGTCTCAAAGCTCGTCTTGTGGCCAAAGGTTATACTCAAATTTTTGGGTTGGATTATGAAGATACCTTTTCTCCTGTGGCAAAGATGGCTTATGTTCGTTTATTTATCGCCATGACTGCTCTTCAACAATGGTCTCTTTATCAACTGAATGTTAAAAATGCTTTCCTCAATGGTGATTTGCAAGAAGAAATATATATGGAGCAACCTCCTGGGTTTGTTGCTCAGGGGGAGTCTTCTGGGATGGTATGTCGTCTTCGCAATATGGCCTAAAACAGTCTCCTAGGGTTTGATTTGGAAAGTTTAGCAAGGTTGTTCAACAATTTGGTATACTCGGTGTGAATCAGATAATTCTATCTTTTATCGACACTCGAGTGCTGGATGTGTTTACTTGATAGTATATGTTGATGACATCGTTCTCATAGGTAGTGACAACCATGACATCTCTCAGTTGAAACAACATCTCTGTCACCATTTTCAGACCAAAGATCTTGGCAAACTTAGATATTTCTTAGGTATTGAGGTGGCACAGTCTAATGATGGTATTGTGATATCTCAGAGGAAGTATGTCATAGATATTTTGGAGAAAACTGGGTTGATGAGTTCAAAGTCTGTTGATACACTCATGGATCCCAATACTAAACTTCTACCAAATCAGGGGGAGCCTATATCTGATCCTGAGCAGTATAGAAGATTGGTTGGAAAATTGAATTATCTTCCAGTTACTCGTCCTTACATTTTCTTTGCAGTCAGTGTGGCAAGTCAATTTCTTAATTCACCATGTGAAGATCATTGGAATGCAGTCATTCGTATCTTGAAGTATATTAAAGGATCTCCTGGAAAAGGATTGTTATATGGTTCTAATAACCATACAAGAGTTGTTTGCTACTCAGATGCTGATTGGGCAGGATCTCCTTCGGATAGAATATCTATATCTGGATATTGTGTCTCCATTGGTGGTAACTTGATCTCATGGAAAAGTAAGAAACAAAGTGTTGTGGCAAGATCCAATACAGAAGCAGAATATAGAGTTATGACCTCAGCTTTATGTGAACTTGTTTGGCTCAAGCAATTGCTTAGAGAGTTACAATTTGGAGATGTCACTCAAATGACACTTGTGTGTGACAATCAGGCTGCTCTTCATATTAGTTATAATCTTATCTTTCATGAAAGGACCAAACACATTGAGATTGACTGTCATTTTATTCGAGAAAATATTATGTCTGGAGATATCAAGACTGAGTTTGTTAACTCAAGTGATCAGTTAGCAGATATTTTTACTAAATCTTTACGGGGTCTTAGAATTGATTATATTTGTAACAAGTTTGGCACATACGATTTGTATGCTCCAGCTTGAGGGGGAGTGTTAGATATTGTTTAGATATTATTTGATATTGTTAAGATATTGTTAGATATTGGTAACCACAATATCAAACAATATCTTCTGTTTATTCTGTTACTTTAAATTACTCTTTTAGTTGTATCTCTCTACTATAAATAGACCACCCTACGTGTGATTTATACACAAGAGAAATTAATTTCAAATCTTATTTTCTCTATATTCAACAATTATTATTATTTTTTTATTTAAAGAATGAATACGTCACTTACGAATTCGTAGTTGGTGACTACGGCGGTAGCAGTGTTGTCATGTCGCAATCGTTTTCTTAATTTATTCATGTGTTTATATATATAAATGTTTATGTTGTATTAGCGATTAAGTTCATGTTTTCTTGCGTCACAGGCTCAAGGCTCAAGTGGGACAAGGATCCTATCAATTTGTGTAAAGCTGGAGATTTATTCATCAAAAGTATTCATTAAGTTCACCAAACCCTTGATTGAAATTGAAAGATCGGAAATTTTAACCACCACACCTTCAACTATTCACCAAATGCTCAATTCCACAAAAGCCCTGTTCAAAATACACTATTTCAACTGTTTTATGAAACCAGCACTCATACGTTATATTGTTGGGAAAATCAACTAAGTCTAACTCACATATTTTGTAAGAATGAGAAACAACTTATCTTAAAGTTTTACGGTAAAGGTGGTCTCAAACCCTTATTTGAATTAGACTCATTGTGTAATGAATCCGCTGAATGACCCAACATATAGAACGAGGTAGTGGAAAATTTGTTTTTCATTTGCTTGGTTACAAGGTGAAAGGAATTTGGGAAGTACACTCCTGATTTGTTATGAGCTATAAGAAATTTTCTGCAACTGGCGCAAAGTTGGATGAAGTTACGTGCAAGTTCTCTTAACCGATGATTCAGTCGTTAAAAAATCTCCCCATAAGACGCATCACAGTTTGTCTTGTCATGGTTACCCTAAAACCATGCACATTATGCGATCTTTGAGAGTTTTGGAACGCTAATTCTCTAAAATGGCTGTTGATTTTATATTATTCAGTTACTTTTTTTCTTCTGTTATGAAAAACAAAAGGATGTATATATTTCTATTTTATATTGCTTTTAACATGTACCAAAAGACAAACTTGTAAGGAAACAAAAACTCCTTTTTCTCCATTAAAGCTTTACCCTATATGCGTGCATTATTTGTCACATTGACATGAAGTGATGAAGCTGTATGTCATTTTTTATCTATTAGAGCTTAATGTTGATATCAACTTTATCTTCCTGAGAAGTCAACACAAGTCTCCATTCTGTAACACGAGGTAAATGGCGGATTTTTAATTTTAGAGGGTAAAATAATATATTATTAATAAATAATAAATAAATATATAAAAAAAGAAAATAAAAAGATAAAATAATAAAATTCTATATATATACTTAAATATATTAAATGATAATTAAATTTAAAAAAAATAAAATCATAAATTATAAAATTAAAAAAATAAAATTATAAATATATAAATAAATATATTAAATATTTATTATATTAACAAAATCATAAATTAGATGGTATCCTCAAGCCGAAGGAAGAACGCCACTGGACGAGGCAATATACAATAATATCTTCAGGCTAGACTTTTCCTCGTGTTGTCTTGATGAATTACAGAGGCAGTTTTCTTCTGCAGGCAACAGTTCCAGATCATGCGAATAATACGTCACCAAGAATGGTGTCGGAGAAAAACATTAGGTTTCTGTTTAAAATAAGGGAAAAAAAAGTTATGTTTTTCGTAATTCTACTGAAAAACTTTGACCATTATGTTGCATTAAGGCGCTGCTGTCAGCTTGATGTAAGTCGTGCTAATTATTCTGTCTCCACGGTGTCCCTGTCTACAAGACATATATATGTCAAGCCACTTGATAAGATTGTGCTAGTCAGGTATAATTATGATATGCAGCACGCGCCTTTAATGTTTCATCATTTTTTTTAATAATTTTGTGTGATTTTAGATTTGCCAAAATTCACTTATGGTATTTAGTTTCAGGAATATACAAATTTAATATTAATATCTTAAATAAATGAATAATTAACATCATTATCTCTCTCTTTCTCTCTCTCTCACACACACACACGTATCATTTTTTGTAAGCAAATAAATTATATATTAATATTGGACTAAAATTGCTTAACTTTGGAAAAAATGAAGCACCAAATCTGTAATTAAAATTTCATAGAGATCAAAATTACATGTTTGTAAAACTATTGGAAACTAAAAGCGAATTTACAATTTTACATTGTATGATTAGCAACTTTACCGCTCCTGACAGTAGTTCAAAATGGATCCCTAACGGGAGTTGAGCTCAATTATTAACTCTAATGTTGTTTTGCTGTTCACAGGAAAGACAATTCCCAAAACCTCCCTGCTCTATTGCTCAATTGTATACAGCAATCAATGATGTCGTTTTATATATGCTTTTAATTACTTACACAGCAGAAATTCAAGAAAAGAAGCGCAAGAAAATCACGAAAAAAACCTGCATTGATCATTATCACTATAAATGACGTGTTAAAAACACCACGTTTAACACTGAGCGGATTATGAGTGGTGTTAACCTGCAAAGACTCGACTACAAAAATTTAGATCTGCGACGATTTAATACATTTTAAACTACAAATACTTGTAACAGAAAATAGAAAAGAAGTTAATAAAACTAGGACCTATATAGTAAATTAACCTTTTAAGTTGGTTTTTCAAAATCTTTCATATTACCTTACATACAAGAGATTATTAAATAGGTACAAGAGTAAATGATACACAGGTTAGGGGGCGGGTATGTCAAAATTGCTATATTTCCTATCTTCTGTTTCGCCTATAAAATTCTGTACTTTACAGATGCTTCTGCACTGCTTGCGGACAACCCATCATTCAATAATGCCTGTAAGTTTACAGCTACGAAGATGTTGATGAACGATCTTCCCCTTGCTCAATGATTGAACATCTTGAAGGTGGACCAAAGATGCTTAACACCACCTGCAGCAGAAGGGGATAAACGGCATAAAATATGTTTCCAGTATCGAGTAGAGTTTTCAAATATTATGGTATACAGTCAATGAAATCCTGGGTAATTAACTATAGTTGGGCACCTTGTCATCGATTTTCTGACAGAAATGTTAAGCGTTATTTTTTTGGGTACAAGTATCTTATGAGTTGTGGAGCATTTTTGTTGTTGTTAATTTCACACATAGTGCTTGGATTCCACCATGAATAAACAATTGGTCCTTACAAAATGGATATGGATTGTCTAGAGCACTCGTTGCATTTTATGTAACTGATGATAAAGTTCCGTGCTTTAGAATTTTATGAATTACAAGCACCTGAATAAGATATTATAGCCACTGATTGAAAAAAAGATCGAGTCACTTCAGGCGTCGGTATCCTTTCAATTTTAATAAATAGGACAAATTGAGAAAACAATAATTGAAAAAAAGACGATTCAAGAATACATCACTGACCGGCAAGAAAACAAGTCCGTGCAAGAAACCAAGAAGCACCAACGACAAGTACATCCGAAAGTAATAAATCTGCAAATTGAAAAGGTTAGTTATAGAGAATATAAAAAAAAAAAATTCATAGTAAATATAAATAGTATAACAGTCAGGCCATAAACTCATAATACCACAAATACTTCTGTTCTTGAGAAGCAAAGAACAATAACTCCAACCAACTTTGTAAGTGTGATGCCACTGCAATCGCATGTAGAAATACATCTTGTTCAGAAAAAAGATACAGCACACGTATTTAAGATAACAATAAGTGGATGCAGATGCAGATGCAGCACAAGTTTATCATGCAAATAAATCTATGATTTTGTAAAACGAATCGCTGCATCTAGACTCAAGAATATATTCGTTATTTGATTTATTTCCTTCACTATTTACACTGAGGGACAGAGTCAAGATGACTTCATTGTACGCATGCATGTGTGCAATTCAAGATATGGAACAAAAAAACAATCTAGCACAAAATCACCTGAACACCGAAGCGCCCATTGTACCCAAAGCCTCCTTAGCACGTTCATCTCTGTCTCCACTTGCTACCTGTAACAAGGTTTGGTCATGTAGAACTGACTGAAACTAGGTCATAGAAACCATGATAATGACATGTAGCTCAGTATTACAGAATTCAATGCTTTTGCTAATACTATTATTACTTGAAAAGTTTTAGTCATATAATCATTTTTATCCTTTCATCAACTGCAATTATGAGAACTAGTTTTAAGGGAAGACTCTACAGCAGGGTAAGGGAGAAACATATGGAAAACAGAGAGAATGACATGTTACAAAATTATTTCACACTAAATTCCGCTGAAATCAAGGGAAGAAATGATAGATTTAATTTTTTAAATAATGGCACAGGTGAATCATGTGTGCAAGGTAAAAGGGAAAGATGAGTGATACTAACAGTGAAAGAATGAGTCATATGCACACAAAACTCAACAGCAATGCCCACTGACATAACAAGGTTGACCACTGAGAGAGCATTCAACTGGATATTCAGAATGGTCATCACTCCCTACAAAGCATAATCTTGTAAGTAAACAAAATAACTAGGTGATTCAACATTCTAGATATCAAACACCAACATAAATATTGATATGAAAAAAAAAAACTATATCACATGTTAATTAGCAATTAAGTGAAAATAAAATGACAGTTAAAACAAAGGTAAAATACCATAAGATCAACGACAATCATTGCCAAGACCAACAAAATGATTGATGAACTCCATAAACTGCATAAACATTGAAAGCAAAGGAGGATCAAACCAAGATTTGATGACAATAACTCGTTGGTACCTCTATCTAATTCAGGAAATTACAAGTAAAAAACAGCTTAAACCATTTGGTAAATTAAATCATGCTCACCTGCTCGTGATAACCAAGCAGACAATAAAAACAGCACCTGTTACATCATTGAATGATTAAGAAAATATTTTACAACTAAACATCAACATACATAATAAATAAATTACAGACTGCAGTCATTAAATACATGATTGTGTAATCTAATTCTTCTAAAAATTTTCCTAAGATCTATATTTTGCTTGCCTTCCCCTCAACACAATTTTTTCCCATGAAATTAATAATGTACAGAAATGACAATGTACAATAATATATATGCACAGAATTCTGATCAGACCTCTTTGAGAAAGGCACTCAAGTCTCAATTTAAGTCCAATACTAACCAATAGCTATACCAAGGTTGACCAGTGCAGTCTTCCATATATGAAGGTATTGCTCAAAAAACATATAGAACACTGAATATGGAAAGATCTCAATCTGCATCAGAAAAGGAATGTTAGTTTGGATATTGAAAATGTGGTGAAGATCAAAAGCTGCTACTTCATACTTTATCTCATTCTAATTAGTATTAGCTTCTATTTCTACATTATGTATCTAATGGCCAGAAATATTTGAGGAAGAGAGTGAACTGATTATATTACCTTCAAAGAATCAGAAACTCTTGAACTGAACTCTCGAGCAGCCCTCATAGAATTAACGTAGTCAATCTAAAACAGATTTACAGTTAAACCTGGAGTCCTTTAATACAATGTATTTAAATAATTAAAGAACAAGTAATAGAAATACAACCTGCTTGTTAAGTGGGGTATGATATGTACGAAATGACGAGGCTGGAATAATGCTATTGCTGTAGCCTAACAACCAAAACGCAGTCAAATAATTCGTATGTCATATTACAGATTAAACTGATTCAGGCTTCAGGATTTGGCGCAGAGAATTTAAACCAGACTTTAAAAAGTGAAAGAAGTGTCTTTAAATCAACTAACCTTTCAGTTCAACACTGCTGGTGTAAGCTCCATGACCACCTTTTGCACAATCAGCAGATGGCAGAGAACTAAGAAACCATGGCAGTTTCTCCCTAAATTGCATAGTAGATGGACGATCATTCTGGAGATCTGTGTGACGGAAACACTGCACAATTTACAAAGTGTTGGAAGAAGGTCTTAGAACAGAAAAAATAAAGTATTCAAACAAGAAAAAAATAAATAGGTTGAAAAACATATGTTCAATTACCGTCGTGCAATCTTTACATGTTCCAACTGAAACACAAGAGCCGTCCCCAGGAGCACAGCAAGGAGGCTAGAAAGGGGGAAAAATACTGTCAGCTACAACAAAATTATTGGCTTTGACTGCTTCAGAAAAAAATTATCCTCTATCCACATCTTTTCTGTCAGACTTTTTACAGAGAAATTTATTAATCAAGCACCATTTCTTTGCAAATATTGATTTTTCATTTAAAAACATTATACAACTAATAAATTAACAAAACTGAAAATCTTAGACCCAACTCAAGCACAAGTAAATCGGTAAACTCCTAGCCATGATCATTAATCTTCATGCACTATTGAGTACATTCCCTCTGATCATGACAAGTTATCTATCAAAATTCATCGTGAACATCTTCAAAGCAATCTAAACACAATATAAGCAAACATATATTATAGCAGAATTAAGATTTTACACATTAATCACTAACTTAGAATCTTATGCACCTGACCTGATCATCTGGAGGGCAATAACTCCCATTTGTAAACTTCCTGCAGCACCCAAATGCTTCTGGAGATACCCACACTAGAAAATCATCAAGCCACGAGGCAGCTGGCTTGGCAATATAACTTGTGTCTGGTGCTAGGGCTGCTTTAGCAATCTACAAGGTAAAGAGACATCATCCATTAGACTGAGTATCCATGTTATTACATGTTGGAAAAGATCCATAATTACTGAGTAGATGCATAGCATAGACTAGCCACTCAATACAGGCAAAAGCATCTACAAAAGGCAAGCATGCCTCATTAAGAAATGATAGATTTGTAATATAAAACATTCCGCTAATAACCAAAAGCATGTTACATACACACATGCACATTGGAGCAGATAAGCCAAATATGCAGAATGATCAGAGTCAAATAAGCCAACTGCAAAAGGTTTATACCTCATTTAAAAGAGAGTCTGAATTGCATCGGCTAATGGAGCAGAGCTGATTCGTATGAGGTGATTCTGAGCTGAGATGAGGAAATTAGTATTAGAACAAATCATCCTTAACATTAGAAATACTTAAACAAGGTTAGACATATGTATTCCTCATATATTCACATATCTTAAGTGTTGAAATACTAATACAAGTCCTCTATTGAAGATGGAGTAAAGAATTCAACTTCATAAAACCATGGTTAGAGAAAACAACTTGTTAACAATCCCACCTTGTAACCAACGAAGATGAATTTAGAAAAGCACAATTTTCTATGATTCATGCTATGTCAACAGTAGTTTGATTTATTATTCAAGTATAAAGCCTATGAGCAAGAATGAAATATTACAAAAATATAATATTAAACAATAGAATTAGATGACAAATAGTTCTATACTATGACTGAATGAAGCAGTTGAAAACATAATATTACATCATGATTAAAGATATTTATCCATTAGCAAGTTTGGATCAAGACTGGCAGTTATCTAATCGGTAGTATAGTTCCAAAAAATTAATAAGTTCGGTGCAATCTATGGAAATGAATTAATATTCCTACAACTAACACATGCATGCCCTCATGCCTCCCTGCAAATTAACAAACTCTGCAAATATTATTTTCCTATAGGTGAAGGTAGAACAAAACATGATCAGTCCAAATTACCTGTAGTTGTAGTTTTTCACAACAAAATACAAAGGAGGTCCAATTCTGAGATATTCTGAAACGTTTTTGAAATAACCCTGTAGAAAGACATATTCTATTTGAACACATGCACATAGATAAAAATTCAAAGGAAACATGAAGTCTGAGCCAAAATGTAAACCTGAAGATACGAATCTCGAGGAAGAACAATCTCTTGCTCTAAACCGGGTTCAACTCTAGTGCTCAATGCCTTTGTAGTTCAGATATAGATAAAATAAAAAGTGGGGGAATGAAACATATTCAAAGAAAGAATGCATTAGAAGCACAGAGGTATAGTTTAACTAATTTCAAAAACTGTAGAAACATATTCAAAGACTTACAATGCTAGCGAATGCAAATCCCACAAAAACAGCTATGACAACTATTTTTACTCCCCAAATACTCAGAATGGGAGCATGAACCTCCTGAAAGGAAAAATGAACAGGCAAGATAAAAAACTAAGCTAAGAAGGTGACTAACAAAGTCAACAGCAAAAGTAGTAAAAAATGTTATTGAATTCAAAAGACTTAAAAACTAAAAATGACCGACTAAACTCAATATGACAAAAGATTTGCAGTTTTCATTATTAGAAGATTACGAAGAAAGTTAAAAATGTTAAATTAACCGCTTAGTCCCTAAACTGTTCAGAATTTTTTAAATAGGTCCTTATATTTTTAATCATTAAATATTTAATATTTTAATTTAGATCCCCAAATTTATTAAAGGTTCTTATTGTGTTCCTAGTTAGTAGCTAGGGTTTCATTGATTACAAGGACCTAATTAAAAATTCTCAAATAGTTTAAGGATCAGGTCACTAGTTTAATTATTAAGTTCTTGAATTATTTGAGCATTTTCAATTAGGTTCTTTGTACTTACCAAAAACCCTAACAGAAACTTAGCTACAGACCCCGCTAAAAATGATTTATAAGTTCAGGGACCTAATTGAAAACTATGAAAGTGTAGGACCCTATTTAAAAAAATTCAAACAGTTCAAGGACTATAGAATTAATTCAACATAAAAAATGGTATATCAATCAAATTTGAATCCCAAGTAAGGATGTTAGCATACTAATTACTCTCTTAATATGATTGTACAATTTATATTATAGGTAGATTAAAAGTAAAGGCTATATACAATTTGCTTCACAAAAACAATGTCAGATATGCTTACTCCTCTCTCAAGCAGCAAACACTTATTGCAGACAAAGATAATGATAATTACCTTCATATATCGAGCCAATAAGCCAGGTTTTCTTTGTCCAATTCCTGAGAAGTTATGAAAAAGGCAACTTCAATGAAAGTAATCTAAACTTTCAATTTTTGAAAAGTAAAAGACCATGTTGTTCATCCATAATATAGTTATCAAATAGGAAAGAGGGAAAGCTTACAATCACAATGAAAAAAAAATGCAGTGATAAACATGGAAGTTTCATCTTAGATTAAAATTTTTTAGTTATACCTATATGAGGGTCCGCATTTACTTTTATGCATGGAAAACAATCAACCCTCTTATCCTCTTCTCGCAAAGAGTCAAGAACTATCAGAGCTACAAAAGCAGTAACTTGCAGGAGGAAGTCCAAAAGAACAGCCAATGCTGTGAATCAAAGGGTGAAGGGAAGCTTAAGATTAGAATTAGAGAAGAAAGAAACAACTGTGACTGTAGCAAAGGTATAAAATTCCAAGAGGATAAAAAGTTACCAGCAAACATGGAGAACACACGGATTGCAGGCATGGAAATAAAACTCCCAACTGCAAATGCTAAAACCTCCGATACACTGGCCAATGTTATTGATGGTCCAACCTCAACAAGTGCATTGCTTATTCGTCTTTCTAAGGGCAACTCCAGTCGTTGTCTTTTTACAGCATGAACTAGTATACACATATTATCCACCCCAACCTAATGAGATTCAAAAAGACAAACAGGAAGCGAAAAATGGTAAACAAAAAATAATAAGTTGGTAAATTGGAATATAATATCTGGATTTGGCAGAATCAGTCACTCGGTAATACATTGTTCTGCTAGTACACATATCCATTTCTATAAGAAGTTTAATGATGAAACAAATGCATTCTAGCCAATCAAATGTCAGCAAAACAATCATTTGAAGAAAAGTCCCAGTTTCATTGATGTTGTTGCTTGAACAAAACAATCATATATTATAGGAAAAGATGCATGATTAATTATCTTTGTACTCGTAAAGGTAATTCTTGGTAGCATTCCATATGTTCCAAAACCAACAATATGCACTTTATTTCACATTCTTTGTCTCTAAACATTAAGGAAGCATCACTATATTGTCAACTTCTAATTTGATTCCTCGCTTTCTACTCATATATATTATACATAAGGGAATTGCTTTCAACATCATGCAACTTGCTTAAATTTATCAAAATAATGAAAGTTAGCAGTTAAATTCTTGATAACATCATTTAATCAACGAAATAACGCCCAACTCGTTTAATAATCAAACAGTTTCAAAATTTAAATTTTCCCTTTATTTAACATTCTTTATCTCCCTTAAGCATTATGGAAGCCTCAAGGACAAGAGAAACCTAATAACAAACAACATTAAAGTTGTTGGTTTGAACAATTTTATGGCACATGCAATGCACGGGTCAATACCTAGTTTTTTGACAATTCTCTGAATATTCATCTATTAGCTCATTCTCTCTGTGTACTCCTGATCAGTCCCTATTTATTCTTTAACCCTTTTTTCTTTTTAATTCACTATAATATTGTTAGAATAAGACTTCTGCTCATTTTTCTCCATCACTTTATGTTTATGCAAATTCTCTTTTAAAAATTTGCAGAGAGTCTAGAATTTCTCCATCAAAATTCAAATAAGGAAAACTCTAGTATCCTATAGGTTTTTGTTAATTAAAATCAAATTGACACATTGAGTCATGTTAAACATCCTATCCAGGTGAATCAAACAGATCTAATTATGAGCATATAAACAATAATTTCCCAAAAAATAATGATAATCATTACCACCAACACAAATATCATGAAATATATGTTTCACTGATAGCTATCAGCCTATCATTTCATAACTTTGTAAGCAAAACAAAACTTACAGCTAGGACAAGAAAAGGGATAACTTCCATGATGATCAAAGTAGATTTTACACCAAGCACACTAAAAAATCCAACCGATGCAAGGACAGATAACATAACAAGAACTACTCCTGAAAGACCAAGCAACACCTGTAATCCAAAATTATTCAATAGATATTAAAACTGGGAATTGATTTCCATAAGTAAATACTGATGAAGGGTTAGGGAGGAGGAAAGATAAAGAAAAGAAGTCAAAACTTAGAAGCAGAGGAAAGATGGCTTGATATTGTGGCACCTTCGATGAAATGTAGAAAAATGAAGGATGCAGTGTATCCCCTAAAGTAAGAGATATATAAGCAAACATCACAAGGTAGCTAACCTGCAATAAAATAAGGTACAATAGAAGAATTAAAAAGGCTACATCTACAAACAGATAATATTAATTCTGGAAATACATGACATAGAACTTGTTCAAATAAATCCAAAATCATGCCTCAGGCATAAAAAGCATAATATACCAGTATAGTAATAGCATCTGCAGTACTTTCCCTTTTCAACTCTTCTTCAATAGAGCTTTCAGATGAAAAAGCCAGTGTCAAATTTCTTGATTGTACCATCGGTAAAAGCTCATCCTATCACAAAGGACACCACAATAACAGTAATTAATTTTAGCAGTGTCAACAGATGCACGAAATCAGGAAAACAAGATGAGTGATAGAAATAGTAAAGGCCTGATGCCTGTATACATGACCAAATAACAGCACAAAGAACAAGCAAGCAATTTACTAAAACATTTTATGCACGTTTATTGTTCTTTCCACAAAGGAAGACCTTGGATCCAGTTATGGGATGTGTAACTTAAGCTACAAGCACGAATACTAATACTCACTGGGAATCAAACCCAGATAAAGTATTTCCTCGGGATGGATCAAATTGCAGCAATCTAATGCAGTTATTTTCTACTGAAGCAAATTGAAAACCAAAGCTTAAAATATACAGTTGATTGTTGACTAACTATGGGGGACCAATGTCTAACTGCAGCCCATATACAGGATACAAACCTTCACCAGCTGAATAAAGGTCTTCTCCCAAGAAACTGCCTTTCTGGTTCCATTACCTTCTTTATCAACAGCATTATTTACCGGATAAGTCACAATGAATGCAGATGCCTGTTATGAATAAATCACATTATAGTTATCGTAAGTCAACAAATCCAATTCATTCACAGCATAGAAGAAAAGAGAGAGTACCCCAGAATAATCATTCCCAGAAAATCCTCCCAATACAGTGGTTGGATCAAGAGGAGCTTTAAATGCACTCATACATTGGTCTGCTGAGGAATAATGCTGATCAAACAAAACGATAGAAAATTAGGTCAGTTTGAAATTATATTATACATTCACTCCTAATGAGGAAGTGCATTTATAGTCATTGATTATAAAAGTAAGGATTGAGATTTAATAACTTCCAAGTTTGTGATACTTGTATTTTTATCATAATCTCAACCATTAAAATTCTAATAAATGGTTATAAATATACTTTTATGTTTATCCTCTAAAGAGCACCTTGTAACTTTAGAGGAGTGAAATCCATAATATTTACACGTCACCATTGTGGATTAAGCTTCATGTTGATGCCTCTAGATTGCAAGACCAGAAAAAATAACACTTACTATTCATATCAGACAAAAAACGCAAAAGTCTTTACCCTTCAGAGAGAGATTTGATGTTATGTGCAAAATGAAGAGCAAGTTATCCAATGGTAACCATCCACACACCCCTCCCAAATAAAATAAAAAATTCAAAACATTCAAAAGGATTTTAAACCAAAGTTACATCTGCGTCGATGAGTTTATCAACCATTTGATTTGCCTGTTATTAAAACTAAAACTTAGTACAAATGCACCAAGGAGGTATTCCCAGTAGTTGTCATGGTTCTAATTCTCTAATTGCTCTATGCAAGAAATTAAAAGCATACTGAATATGACATCATTGATTGCTGAATATAACGGTATACAGTAGGAGGTCTTGGGAATTGTCTTTCATGTGAACAAGCAAAACAACAGTATAATTAAGAATTTCTACAGCCACAATCATCTTCAAGATAGCTAAAATTTGGTACCTCAAAACAGTAGCTGAGATGCTCAACTCCCCCGTAATCATCAAAATTTTTGGGATCCATTTTGAAGTACTGTCAATCAGGAGGGGAAAAATTTCTATTCATAAAATTTAAAAATGAAATTTTATTACAGCAAATATGATGAAACATTACAGTTCTATGGCTGCAAATAAATAATTATACCTGCAGGACACTTTGAGTGGCACAATCTTTGTCAAGTGGCTTCATACAGATGTCTTGCAGGGATATCATCGAGCCGGAATCGTTAGCCCGAATTGCATCAACCTGACAGCAATGCTCTCAATGCAACATAATAATCAAAATATTTCAGTAGTACTACAAGATGGAATACATACCTTTTTCTGTATTTCAAACAGAAACCTAATGTTGTCCTCTGACACAATTCCTGGTGATGTACCATTCACATGATCTGGAACTGTTGCCAGTATGAGCTACAAAAGAAAAGTGGCTGTCATTCATTAAGATAAATTAGCAAAAATCTAGCCTGAATATTATTTCAAATTTCCTTGTGTTGCAGAATGCAGACTAATGTTGACTTATTAGGAAGAAAAAAAAATCAATATCAACATCAAGCTATAAAAGAAAAAATGACAAACCCCTTAAGAGTAGATTACAATTAAACTATTATACAGTTTCTTCGCTTCATGCCATTTTGACAAAGAATGTTTGTAGGGTAGAGAAAGCTTCAATAGAGAAAAAGGAAATTTTGTTTCCTTACTTCCAACAAATTTGTCTTCTGGTACATGTTGTTCACTGAAAACGCTTGTAAGGAAGTTGAAAGCAAAATGAATAAGAAGCACTCATTTTTTTCATAAGAGAGGGAAAGAAGTAACTGAATAAAGTAAAATTAGCAAAACAATCACAGGGTGGATTTATTGATAAACAAACTTGTCTTTTGGTACATGCCATCCTGTGCACATGCATGTAAGGAAGCTAAAAGCAAAATAAATTAGAAATATACATCTTTTTTATTTGCATAAGAGAAGAAAACAAGTAATGGAACAAAATAAAATTAGTAAAACATTCACAGGGAGGAGTTGTTGCACATTGTACTGATAATGAACATTATAAGTTAATCCGTACGGGGAGAAGAGGAAAAAAAAAGGGGGATCAAAACAAGAACCTGTTCAATTCTGTAAAATGGAGCAAGATGACTGTCAAAAAACTGCTTCTCTTGGGCTGCTTTGCTCCCAGGGCCTACCCAAAGCTAAAAGATGTAGGAAGTTATTTTGCCAAATCTGACTAATGTAAAGAAATATATCAAGCAGATAAGTAGCCTAGACAGTAAACCACAGCACATGATAACAACTTCTTCCCACCTACACATTAGACCTCAAAATTTTAATGATTCATTGTTCTTCTTTATGCTCTAGCCAAACAACTTTTCAATGAACCCCACCCCCCACCCCCCCTCAAAAAAAAAACATTTGAATTAAAAATTGCAAGCACTCATTAGATCTCTTGATACTACATTAGAAATTTTTTCAACCAACAATTTCACCCTATTAACAGAAGTGGAACTGAAATGAATGGAGCCAACAAAACAAGACCAGCAAAAGAGTTGTGCTGCATATACAAAGAGCATTGAAAGTCAATAAAAAAAATACAGAGACAGCTAGTTTCTTATAAATTGGAAACCAATAGAGTTGCTTACAAAAATCATTCATTAAATGTGGAAATCTATTCTACTTGTATCATTTAACAAAATCTTGTTCAGAAAGATAACAAAATGAAACAGCATTTTAAACAATAGAGTAGTAACTACATGGTATTTACCTTCTCAGGTCGGGTCTCAACCTTGAACAGGATTAGACCAAGACAAAGGAGAAGAACTATAGCCAGAGATGAAGCCAACACCTTAATTGGATGTCTAGCTACATATGATCCATATCTCCTGATTATATTTGCAAAAGTGAGGTCAGATGACATTCTACGTCAGATGATATATGTTGAAGCATAGGCAGTAACCTGTAAAAATTTGTCATATATCCTTGCACAGCAGAGAGCCGGACTACATTTCTGTTTTCTTGGGCATCTTCCATCATCTTATAATTAACATCAGGTAAAACAAAGTCAAAATTCAACAAATATGAATAAGGAAAATAAGCAAAACTTTTAAGAAAATAAAAAAGGGACGACAAACGTGTTTACAGTGAAGAAGTAGCATACTAACATGAATCTGCATTGGGAGGTTCTCATCCTTCTCCCTATTACGAGAATATGGAGCACCATCACTAATGACATTAGGCACTGATTTAGTTCCGTAAGTAGGTTTTCTTTCCCTTATCCGATGATACAATCCCCAACCCAAGAACACACAAATTAGTATAATGTATAAGACTGCTAAACTCAAGTCAACACACTTCACCTACGGATGTCAAAAGGGTAAAACCATGTTAGTTAATAATACACAGTAGGCTCCACAAACCACAAGTTATTCATCAATATCATTATGAACAGAAAATAAATACATCTGGAAATATCATATTCATTGTAATATGCTCCCTTACCATTAAAGTCCCAACTTTCACAGAGCATGAATCCTTCTTATTGGTGGTAGTTGAAGATGAAATGGAGCATACTGAAGATGAAGGACAGTCACCACAAGAACAGCCAAGGGAAATATCACCACATGAATAAGTTGAAACATTCATAGGTTTCATGCCAGATGATTCGGTTGCATTTGGCCTGAATGTAATTGCATATGGTGAACCAAGACCATGAGGGGCTGCTTTTCTACCAATAAAAGTAAACCAATCTGGCAAAAGTAATCTCAGTATAAACATCAAACTTTCAAGCAATGAACTAAAAAATAATTTTACAGTAGTAATACCCATCAAAAGGAACCTTTACATTTGCTATGTTGCTAGTATTACATGTCAGTCAAACTACCATAATGATAGTCATATAAGTTTTTTCTGCATAGACAGTGCTATAGGAGGATATCAACTTATGTTCAAGACAAATATCCTGCAAAGTCACCTTGAAAATAAAATATAATAAATGATGTCTTACAGAAACAAATGGAAGTAAGATGCAAAGTTTGTTTACACCATTGCATGTATGTTGAGATACAAACAAACAACAAAGACTCACAAACCAAGAACTCTAATGCATCCATCTATTTCTTACTCTTAATATATGAATGCAAGTTTACAGAGTGATCAAGAGAATTATTAAGGAGAGGTCCTGCGCATACATTACGATAATATATTTGGAAAACCACATCCAGAGTATACAAAACACATTACACAAGCTATTTTAGTGACAGGCTTTACCATCCAAAGTTCTGCAGAGCTACTCCCTCCTTCCCATTTCTGACATGTTTTAGCCTTTTATTTTTTTTCCCAAAACAAATCATGTTTCAGAATTTCAAAGTTAAATTAAATTATGTTTCTCAATTATACCCCTGCCTAAAAAACTATAAATTATTTTCAGTTTATCTGTCTTATGTTTAAAAGAAAGTGGAAGGCATAGAACACACCAGCATTATTTACACCAATTTGAAAAAAAAAAAAAAAAAAAAATAGGGAGAAACATGACCTGTACAATTTGGTGGGTAATACTACAGCAGTAAGATGTATGGTGGCAAAAACTAGAAATTTTAGTACTAGTTCACATTTATTGTTATAGGAATTACTCGAGATAAGTAGAAATTTGGAGCATTAATTTATTACTACTAGTGATTAAGACACATGGTATGAAATAAGGGTTTTCCGGTCCAAATTTACATCTATTAAATAGTTCATAATCCATGCGCAATAACCTTAAACATGAAAAGATATGGGAAGAGGGGAGTGATATATTTCTATGCTTCTATAATTCAACAATGTGACATTAAATCATGGACAATACATGAGAAAGGAGAAACAATATTTGGTTAGACTTACAAGTACAATTTACCTTTAAAATTTTGAGCACCAGCACCAATGAATTGTAGAGCTCGAGAATTCATAGTTCCAAATTTTACCTCTTTGCAGGATTCATATAAACCTTCACCAAAAGCATCAGTTATTAAATATTCAATTCCACCCACTGTCAAATTACCATCAACCTGTAAATTGAAATAATTGAAGTTTATTAGCAACATTTGCAATGTACAGGAAATGAAATAGGCTTTTGTTCAATTAATTCGATTTATCAGTATTGTTGAACAAAGAAGAAGAATCATCTCAAAGGATGCCTATTATTCAGTTTATTTTATTTGATAGAACAAGAAACATTATAACAGAATCTATTTACGATAAATTTCTTGTGGTTAAAAAGAATGATAAATAACAGAACTGTACTAAAAAGTACAAAACCGTAGGAATGTGTTGGATCTTACATTGTCAACTGAGGTCACATTGATGAATAAACTCTGGTTCGGAGAACATGTAAGCTCACAAAACAGATTCAAAAAGTTTCTTAAGCATGCTGGACAACCTACAAGAAAAGGAATGGCCTGCCATAATGTAAAGTGTGTTAAAGGCATGTTGCTCGGAATTTCAAAATTTGGTGCCAATATTAACTAGAAAGAAGTAGACACGTAATAAAGCAAACTATGACAGGTCAATATATTAGTATCCATAATTCCATAAAATCTCTGAAAATAGACAGAGAGAGACTTTGGATCTATAGCTAAAAAAGAAAAGATAGAAGGTTGACCTGTTGGAGCTGTGTCTTTAATGTGTCAAACTGAGCTTCTGTACAACAAACGTTCCCAGTAATTGTTGGACACAAACTTTGGATCTTTGATGAGAGCAAATCATCTGGCTGGGGAAAGGAGAGGCAGAGAGTTCAGAAAATCGTGACAAATTTAAATCCTTAAAAGTTCAAACTAGATGATGTGATGCACCTTTACCTTTATGCTAAGATAACAGAAATCAAAGTTCAATACCAAATATCATATCACAGAATAAAAATCTAGATGAAAATAATTTTCAAAAAATTAATCTTTTAGAAAGGAAAAGAACAGAGGCAAATGGATGGACAATAAAATGATGAGAAATGCCTCGGAAATACCTTCACAGCCGGGGAACCATATGGACAGTTCACTACTTTACCATCACTGAGCGTTCCACAAATGTCATACATTGCACAGTAACCCTCGGAATGTTTTTCCCTGTATAAAAGAAAACCAAAATGAAATTATCTCCGCTTTCAGATCGTAAAACAGGGCAGTCAACTCCTGTCTTGTAACTACGTTCAGCTAATGTATTGTAGAATTGTAGAAAACTCCAAAAAAAAAAAAAGAGTCCATGCGTTGTAGATACACATAAACATACAGGATTGTAGAATTGAAGCGACACAGCTACATTTGTTCTATACATAAAGAAATATTACCCCGTTTTGTTGGCATTGGATGTCAAAAGAAGTCTTGTGGACAAATTGTCGGCTTCTACCAAAGATAAAACTAGAAAAACCTGCAAAACAAAAGCAACAGAAGTTAGCAATCCAACCAACCAAGGTAACCAATGCTCCTACTTCCAGTCGTAGTCAAGCCAGTGAAGTAAACACAGCCTGCGCCACGAGATGAAATAGACCATGCCGTAATCCACAAAAACGTGTTCCCTTGGTACTTCAACACTGAGTTAGAGAACTCAGAAGGTTTTCTTGGTACTTGGCAACATTTCCGAAATATTCAAGCAATTTCTGAGTAAGGAATTCTTTCATCTCTATTTCAATTCCCTCGACAAACAGACAAAGTATGAAGAGAAATTTCAAGAGAAGACAGACTCATAGAGAAAACACAATTGCATCCTCTGAATCTGGGGAATGATGACCAGCTGAGCACAATGATTCCAAATGAAGAAAGTCCGGAAAGAATGAAGGAAAGAAAAATGAGAGTTGAAGCAAAAGGTGTGAGAGAGAAAATTTGCCTGTGACAGAGCTAGCAAAGTGAAGAACCCTAAGCGAAGGTCCATGGCGGAGGTGGTCGACAATCGCAGTGACAGAGTGTGTAGCTTGAAACCGTTTGCGGTTGTGGAACACTGAGAGTAGAAAACCGCATTTATAAGATTATAGTGTGGCCAAAGCCAACTCATATAAGACTATGACTCGGTGGTGCTTATAGTGTGACGTTGCCAATTTGCTAATTTTTAGGGATGTTTATATTAAAATATTGACTTTTCTCAACCATCATTTAATGTTGTCTTTATCTGTTTTTCATTAATTACTATCACTATAACAATTTAAATCTGTTCATTTGTTTTTTTCTTTCACAGTTTTTAATGGGTTCATTAAATACTGAATTTATGTTATACTTCACACATACTCATATCTGTTATGAATTTATGATTTTTTTAATTTTAAAATCAGTATTTATCATTTTTTTTTAATGTATAATATTTTACACAGATTCTGAGTTTTCTAGACGTGCTATTTTAATAATATTAAATTTTGAATTAAATATATATATATTGGTATAAGAGTTAACCCATCATAAATATTTTCATATGGTTTTTATCATAGTTAATTTAAAAACCAACAAATCTAGTATATTTTAATTAAATAATAATATAAATTATAATTACTTATATATTGTTTATTCTTAAATTTTAGGTTTTATTTTAAACATAAAATTCACTGTTTAAAAAAAGACAATTTTTATAAGTATGTTAAAACATTTTGAAAACTCATTACTTCAATAAATTTTAGTTATAAATTTATGGGTATAATTATGTTAAAGTACTTTAACAATTTTACTATATGATTACATTTTTTGAAGGCTTTTAAATTATTGTTATTCTATTACAAAATTGAAATGCAAATAGTAATTAATATCAAGTACATGTTATTATAATCTATGTCTTTTTACACATGTTATTATTATGTTCATTCTAATTTATTTATTTTTATATATAGTTCATGTAACTTTTGTTTGTTTTATTTTTTATCTGGAAATCCTTACTAATAGTTATAGTTTTTGGTTAAGTGGTTATCGTTGCGTGTTTATCATTTGATATCGAGTGAGGACACATGCTCGATTCTCGTCGAAGATGAAATTAGACCGACGTGTGATAAGTCCCCTCAATATTTCCAAAGAGTGACAAAGTCGTAGAATAATGTGGAACCAAGGAAATAAGTATCAATATAGCTTTTGGTAAAGTAAAAAAAAAAAAAAAATTGATGTTACATAAGTTATACTATTTGTCTTAAAAAAGTCAAACAAACAAAGTTAGTTTATGTAACAAGAAATGGTCTAAAATTTCTACATCAGAAGCGCTGCTAATTGACCAAGGGAAATGACCGGTGCAAATTTAACTCTCTCTTTTTAAGGGAGTAAAAGGCAGAAAAAAAAACTAAATTCAATTAAATTAAAGTATGACACAAAAAACAATACAATGAAAAAGAAAATAGATAGAGAAAAAAAATAAGACATAAAAGGATCAAATTTTACGTTATAAATATATCAAGGTTCTTATTTGATTGAGAATAATAAACATGTATGATTTTTCATTTAACAGAAAGATTGACAAATATCCAGAAGAGTAAATAAGTTGATAATGGAGTTCTTTAATTATGTTAAAGTTATCTACACGTTTAAAAAAATTAATCTCATTATAAATATTAAAAAAAAAACGTCCCATTTATAAATAAGAGTCAAATTCCATCCATTATTTAATTTTAGTGATGTATATGAGTGCCCTACTCAATCTAAATCTTGTTATAAAAGTGATGGCAGCAAATTTTGATTTGAATAAGGTGATATTTGTCTTTCTAAAATAGAATAAGGTGAATCTAAATTTATTCTTAAGTAGAATTATATAATTATAATGATACATGTAGTTTTTAAAAAAATAAAATATTATTATCTTATTTATGGAATGTTGTCGATTCTTGGAACTAGGAAAGTGTGGTAGGTGAAGGAAAAAGACTTGTCTTGAATTGAAGAGAAACAATAAAACATTACAGATAAGAAAACAATGGAACAAACTTGCCTGTATTAATTGCACAACACAAGACAAGACAATTATTTTATTTTCCCTTTCCTGAATTTTTTAATCAGATAAACTTAATTCATGAGTTTATTACCAATTTTGGAAGTTACCATTTACAATTTAGATTGGGGGTTTACGTTTAATAGCATACAAATCTCAATTTATTAATGGAGAACAATAATCTTCAGTCATGTTTATTTTTTTATTCCATGGAAAGTTTTCTGCTATTGTATATGCTAAATATTTATTTAATTAAAATTAAATGTGAAGTTAATAAATAATTATTTAGATTATTCAAATATATTATTTAAATAGAGATTAAATTTTAAAAAATTCCAAATAAGATTATACATGGATAGGATGAAAAAAACATCTCATTTTTTTTCTTAAACTTACAAGAATAAATTATAAGAAAAATAAAATAAATCTCCTCAATTGTTTAAGGATTGAAATATAATTTTAACAAAGAAATTTAGTAAAATAAAATTTTAGTGAAGAAAAAATATGTATCATTATTAATTAAACTTACTCATTTTTCTCTCCAAGAATAAATCATTATTGAATTGATAAAATTTTATAAATCAATTATTTTAATATTCTCATAGATAAAGATTTTTTAAATAAATCTCTTAAATTTTAACTTACTCATTTTTCTCTCAAGAAAAAATCATTATTGAATTGATAAAATTTTATAAACCAATTATTTAAATATTCTCATAGATAAAGATTTTTTAAATAAATCTCTTAAATTTTTATATAATTCTATAATGTTTATATTATCAAAGATTGTAAGAATTCGTTAATATATACATTAAATGAGGATAATTTATATAGTTATATATAATTATTAATATTAGTTTTAAAAATTAATGATAATAATTAATAATATTGTTATATTTATTTTACATATTGTCATAAAAGTATATTATTATCATTTATAAGTGAATTTAATTTTTTTTTCATTGGCTTTTTATATTTTATATAATCTTTCAATAACTCTTTGAAATTGTGTTTTACAGTTAATTGTAGTTATTAAATTTAAAATGCAAAATAACAGTAAGTAACGGAACAAAACAAGTAATGTTCTTCTGCGTATACGTATTAATATAATTTTACCATGAAGGGATTGATTCTGAAATGATAAAATTGTGAGCATGATTAAGTTATATACACCATTCATATCAATTATTTTGAAACTGATTAGTCCAATACTCCACGCAACAAACATGGCCCTTAAATCAATAATGGAAGATATTACTAATTTGTTTTCTGTAATTAATATGAAATATTGTGTTGTCACAACTGCAAGGTCAACGTAAATATACGTAATTATCAATAAACATTAGTGTTTTCTGGAAAATAAACGTCATGTGTGGTTTCATATAATAAAAACGTCTTTTTTTTTTTTGCAAAGTATTATTATTATTATTATTATTATTTTTAGAAGATGGTAAGAGTTTTAATATCTGTGATGCATCAGGATTATAGTATCCGTCATCATTTAGTGGTATTGTTGAGTTATCAACATCATCATTTCTCATCTGACTTTGGTTTTTCATATTTATGTGTGTTTGTAGCATTGATAGGGTTAATCGGTTGTATATTATGAAAGAGAAAAATGATGAATCAACTTTAACAGCTACTTCACAATGAAGAAATAAAGCAGAGTATTAGATTTTGTGGAAGGAACCACATCATCGTCATCATATGACCAATATTTTACTTGAGCTACCTAATCAGCGTGCTCACACTACTTTTTTTTTTCTTTTTTTTTTTTTTGCTTTTGCAATCACACATTCATCGTTTTGTTGTGTCCTTACATGTTCATGCCTAAACCCCATGCATCCAAAATCAAATAATTTGGACTTGCCTTATATCTTACTCTTCTTCTCTTCTCGAATTTAATAATTATTTTCATGAAATAATACTTTTAATTTATTCTTTTCATAACAATAATTAACTGGTTTCTCACTACTTTTGGTGATACACGATTATTTTCATTAAAGATTGATAATACAAGAATAATTCAAAACCTTAAGTTTAGTACACTAATCACATATTTCGATTATTTTTAAACTTAAATAATTATAATATTATTTTGACACAATCCACCTGATAAAATATCGGATTAAATTTTTTTCCTTAAATATCTTACAAAACCAAAACCAAGAGGCTGATTAATAATATAGATTTTGTTAATTTATAATTAAATATACTTATTAGCATCTTTCTTAATTAATTAAATGAGGTAGATTAATTAGGTGATCAGCATCTTCTTTGATTAAATGTGACAAATAAATTAGATAGCAATGGGGGATGATGGGAAGTGTGGCTTATAGTAAATTGATCTTTTTAGATATTGATAGTAGTTGTTTGCATTTATATTTGAAATTATGAATTAAATTTGAAAAAGTTAGACACCTAACACAATTGCATATTAAATGTGGCATCCGAAAGCATTTATTAAACTTGAAAAATCAGAGAATTCATATATGCAAGAATTATTAAACAGCATATATTGTTTTCTTAATTAGTTGGGTAGAGGGGGTTGATTCATGCATATGATTAGAGGGAAAAATATAAGAAGAAAGGGAATTGAGATGGTCAAAGGAAAAGGGTATATAGATGATGATAGGGTATCATGTTGCAGGGTGGGAGCAAAATATTTGTAAAAAAAAAAAAAGGAGAGAGATTTGAATGATTAAGTGGTGTAGTTAACAGTTGGGAGATGAGTGAGTGGGATTAATAATGGTGAGTGTGAAAGTGGAGCCAGAAGGAGTGAGTGTGGAAGGAAGGAAGAGTAGAGTGAGATTCTAGATGTGGGACTTTACGCCCAAAGCCAATACCCCTATCATTTCGCATTGCGCGCCCACTCATCACTACCTCCTCCTTCCATCGCTCACCTCCATTTAATTAAGGAAATTCCTCGTTATGAATATTTTATTATGAATTGTATTTCTAATTTTAAGTCATTTTTTAATTTTGAACAATTCATATTAAAATGTTTATTTTTATTAGGAGGAGAAGTGTGAATTGTTTGTGGCTGCGTTTTATGATAATGGGTCATTTGCTTTTGGGTTGTTTGTGTGGGAAAGAAATGTTTGGAGGACCCATTGGGACTCATAATTGCTTCTCATATGATGTTATTATAATCTCCCAACCCAAAGAAACCTACACGCCTTGATCATGCAAAGCGCCACACGCTGCTGCGGGGGAACATCACAACCAACCACGCCCTTGGAAAAGCAGATTCTGCGGTGAAAGTCCTCAAAAAGGGGTCTATAAGCCAGTTAGATTTGTACCTTGCTTTAGTAGCAACAAGACCACACAAAGATTTAACAAGTTAGTTAATAGGGTTATTTTACAAATGTTTTTCTTTTCAAAATCAAATCAAAAATTCTCTCTTTTTTACTGTCGGATAAAAAAATTTAGTGAAAAAGTATGATCATATGCTATGTTGAAGACAATCTTTGTAAAAGATACATGAAAGGGAGATTTAGGTTGGAGAGAGAAATAAGGCAATGACAAAAATTACAAGTAATATACCTAAAATTACTTTTGTGGCAATATGCAAACAAATAGATATATATCTGTTAAAAGAAGTAAGACACACTCATATTTATATATGGATACAGACAGAAGAAAAAAAAAAAAAAAGAGAAAATCTCGTGACATCAGCAAAGTTAATAATAGTAATTCTTTTGCTTCTTAAATTCTTCAAACGGTCATTTTTTTCCAAAAATAATAGTTAACAGGAGTAATTCGTGAAAAAAAAAATAGTTTTTTACTTTTCTTTCATGACATCTCTAAACTCTTTTTTTCTTCTCACAATCTAGGTAATAACATAAATGGTGTTTATTATTATTATTATTATTATTATTATTATTATTTCATGATTTTATAAACTGTTTTATTTATTTATTTTTGGTACACATATCATGTTTAATTTTTAGTTAATAAAATTGTAGACTTTATACCCTAAATTAATAAAAAAATATAATTTAGTCTCTATCGCGCGTCATTTAGTTTATCAAAATTTAGATTTTATTGGAAGTATATTTCAACTACATTACTTATCAGTTGGCGAATCTCATTCGATAAGCATAAAATCACTTATTTTCACCGCTTCCTAAAATCTGATTTTTACAAGCAAAAGCACAACCAATAATTGGATCGAAAAAGGGTTATTCCAACTTACATATTTCAAAGAAGGGAGGAAGAAGGAACGTGAAAATGACAAGTAATAATATTATGTTGAGAGATTTGAAGTTCACAGACCCAAAAGAACCTTCTTAGGTATAATGGAAAAATGACATGGAAAACAACCCAAGAGCCAAGAACGTGGCATTCAGAAGGAACCTGCTCTACCAACACATCATTACGGGCCACAAAATTCTGTCCTTTAATGCTAACACACCCAAATAAATAAACTATTTTTCAATAAAATTCAAGCGAAGTATTAGTTTGGTTGAATGATGTAACAGATAGTGGTGAGCAAAATGTGGAACCGTCCTTCAGAATACTTGGATAGTTGGATGTGGTATATAAGTCAATGGTGGAAACTAACCTTTTCCAATATCATGAAAAGAAGACACGTGAAAGATGTCATTGTGATCCCACAAAATTACCTTTGCCATTCTATACTTTGCTTTGGACATCTGTTCTTGTCTTAAATTATAATTTTTATGCATAATTAGGTGGTTGTAGTTATTTGGTTGTCTGAAAATAATTACATTGCTAATATATGAAATTGAAATAAAAAATTACATATACATCTGATGGTTAATAATTGTGAACAGATGTTGAAGGAGAAAAGAACAGAAACATACAAGTGCTTAGAAAAGAAAGGTAGATAGATAGAGTACTAATGTGAAGAAGGAGAATGAGATGGTCGTGATTTGGGGTAACCGTTGTTGTTGTTGTTGTTGTTGTTGTTGTTGTTGTTGTAGTAGTAGTGAAGCGGTGGTGGGTTATTTGGGTGATGCAGATGCTCCTCTGATGTTTGGCCAATGGCACTGGGTTTCTTCCCTTTGGGTTTGTACTTGATGTTTTGGGCTTTTTCTAAGGTTCCCAGAACCTCCTCCATGGAGGGTCGTTTTTTGTGGTCATTTTGTAAACATTTGAGGATAACTTGGGCTATGCTAAATGCAGCCCTTAGAGAATATTGGTCGTCCATCTTTGGGTCCATTATCTTTTTGAGCCTCTTTTTGTCATGCAGAGATGAGATAGTGGAAAGCACCAAATTCTGCTGATCCGTGGGCCGGGTTGTGTCCAGAGCTGCTCTTCCCGTTAGCATTTCTAGCAGAACGACGCCGAATCCGTACACATCGCTTTTGAGATACAGGTGCCCTGCAATTTTGGAACACGGAATCTGATACATTAATGTTTCAAATCACCGTGACAGTGGAACACAGAACATGAGTTATGTAATTGTTATGTTTACTTGAAGAGAGTACCTGTGGCCATGTATTCAGGTGCTGCATAACCATAGGTGCCCATGATCCGCGTGGTTACATGGGATTTACCATTGACCGGGCCAAGCTTTGCCAACCCAAAATCTGATAACTTCGCATTGAAATCCTAATGAACGGTAACATTGCGACCAGGTTAAGTTAATGATGGATAAAGTAATCAATGTAACTAGTAATTTGATGAGAAAAAAAGGAAAAAGGGTGTGTGATTGTTGATTGCAGGAGAAGAGAAGAGAATTATTAGTGCAGATAGATACCCCGTCAAGCAAAATGTTGGAGGACTTGAAGTCTCTGTAGATGACAGACTTGTTTGATGTATGCAAGAAATCTAGGCCTCTGGCAGCTCCTATGGCTATCTTCAGCCTTATATCCCATGAAAGTGGCTCTGGACCTTCTGCAAGTGCAATGATATTGCAACAACATCATCAATAATTTAAACAAACAAATGTCCTTATATTTTAGTGTTACCCTGTCACAAAATGTTATTTCTTACTTCTGAATAGGTGGCTTTCAAGGCTTCCCTTTTGCATGTATTCATATACCAGCAGGAATTGATTTTCCTCCCAGCAGTAGCCAATTAGTTTAACTAGGTTTGGATGAGAGAGCTCCCCCAAAAGTTGCACTTCACTCTGCATCCAACAATGTATAAACATCATTGTTGTATCAGAAAATCAACCTTCGTTCAAACTAAACTAAGTATGTTGTTCTTGTTGAGTGTTTCTACCATACTCATAAAATAGTTAACAGTAATATTTTTCTACTAAAAATGGATTAATGGCAGAGTGGTACTTTTTAGAACATTAATGCTTTCTTAATTGTTAAACACTGATTAGCATGTGTGAGTAAAATATTGCAGCTTGGTATTAAATGACGCGTGATTCTTCACACCGACACTTTGTACATTAAACAAACCTGCATTCAGATTGTTAGTCCGAGTTTTACATATGGAGCAATTATTGTCAATGGCAAACCATTTTCAATCACAACCACTTAAAAAGGATTTAGCTAAACTCCAAATAACTTCAGGATAATTTTTATTATTCTCTCATTTAAGATATATAATGTTTAAGGCTTAAGTTACATAAATCAATATGATCATTAATTTTTATTATTATCAATAAAAAAAATTCTATTAATATCCTTATTATCATAAGATTTTTTTATTATCCAAAATCGCTCTTACTAATCATTTATTATGTTCTCTCTACAATAAATATAATTAAAAAATATATTAATTAATATAATCTTAATCTTTGTATATTTTAAGGCATTTGAAGTTATTAACTATGCCTTAGATTTTTATTTTTATTTTTATCAATATTCTCCTTTGCATACAAATTATTTAAAACCCACTCAAATACTAATTATAAACACTTTTTTTAACAGAAATTCAAATTTAATCTGTAGCATCACAAAAGTATAACCTTGTTTAGACTGGGCAGTGCTGGTGGGAGTCTTTGTTCACATGAAAGCTGCTTAAGATTGTCTCTTATTTTTTTCTCTAAATGGTTGTTTAACAACTTCTTCATATATAATAACAAAAATGTAATACACTAATCTCACACTAGCAACCCAAATATCTTCATTCATCTCTATCCATACACAAACATGATAGTTAAAACTAATTAAAGGTTTTAAAATGGATATGACTTGATGACTAGGTTAAAAAAACTGGAAAAACGAATTAGCTGACCCTACCCCATATGTTTAACAGTTGTATGAATGATAGGAAGGTAAGTTAACCGGCAACTTTTGTCGAATACGATCTTTTGGAACAAAGTGGAGACAGAATTGAAGTCACTAAAATAAAGTATTTGCCGTTTGAGGTGGGGTATGTAAGTTTTTAAGACACTCAACTCAGCATTCAACGAGGAATCATCTGTTAAAATATAGATGCGAATCATACATACAATGGAACTTGAAGCAAGTTAAAATGGCAATATAGATTATCACTTAGTGTACGACGCAATCATCAAAAGCAAAAACTTTATCCTTTTGGCGTGAACCCACAAACACAAAATTAAGATTGAAGGTAACGAAATCAAATCACTGTGACTAGAATCTCGAGGAATCAAAAGGGAACATACCTTCCATTCTTGCAGACCCTGAAGGCTATCGGGGTTGGATTTCTTCACCGCAACGGGAATTCCAACGCCGACTCTTGAAGGCTTGAACGTGTTCTTATCAATCCACCCTTTGAAAACACGTCCAAAACCACCTTCACCTAAGACCGTGTCTGGTCTGAAGTTTTTGGTCGCACTTTTCAACTCATCCAATGTGTACTTTATAAGTTTCCGCGGCACAGCCTCTTGGTTTATATCTTCCACGGTTTCCTTACTAAATCTCTCTGCATTTTAATCAATCAATGCTTTCATTTCCAATGTGGGTTGAACACTAATCCACACTAATAATCCTATATCTAACATACGATACTAAAAAAACAACATAAAGGGGTGAACAGAAACTATACAGCATATGTGAGGGATACACACATAATTCTACATATATCGGATCATGATCATATGTATATATATACCTGGGGGAGGATGACTCATGGTGGGAGTCTTGTGCTGAGTTTTGTTACCATCATCTGGCTTTCCAAAACAGTTTCCCATGAGTCAGGTAGAGTGGTGATGCTAAAACTATGCCACAACGGAACAAGTCTTTGTGATTGAAAAATGAAGTTGACAAAGTTGTGGGGTTATGATATAGTGAGAAGGAGGCGTTCCACGAAAGAGAGGAGAAGTTGAAAAGAAAGAGCACAGTAGACAAAAATTTAATTAGGGAATTAAAAGGAAGAAGAATACTACTTCTTGACTTTTTCCTTGCATGTATTGAGATGTCTCTGATATTGACTTTGTGCTTGTAATTAATAGTTTATGGTTTATTTACGGAATTGAAATGATCCATGGGTAGTCCCACAATTTGGCTTTGTTTTCCTTTGCTTTGGAAAAACCACACATTTCAATGTTTATACTAGTTCTTGGTTAAGGCTCGTTTGTTTTTCCACGTGTATCTGGAAATTGTTGCTGCACGTTGGCAGAAATTCAGGTTTTGTGAAATGAAAGATTTTTTGAGTCTCCAGTTTTCCAAACTAAACCTCACGGTAAGGAGCCTCTGGGACCGATGTATGATATTTCAGAATCAGACCATGGCCCTCCAAGAAGATTTTGCAGCACTGAGCATTCACACGTTGGTGTCAAATTTATGTACGAATGAATAGTTTCGCCCAAAAGAAATTCATTCCGCTTAGACAAATTCTACAAACAATTCGTAATGTCTGTTACTTCTTTATCGGACATTGTCTTAATCAATAAGCACTTGAATATGTGAACTAATAACGTACGATGACATACACAACATAATTACAACTTTTAGAACAACTTCTTTCAACATTTAACACACCTTTCAAGTTTGACGTGTTCATCTAAAAATTAAAGAAAGTAAAAATGAAAAACCTGTATGTTGAAGACTTGGTGTTATTTATTGTCCTCTACGTACGTTGAATTTGATATTGTAATGGTTATATCGGTGTACTACTAACTTGAACCTCTCAACAGTGAGAAGTATTAGATCCTTGACCTCTTAAACTATATCAAGTCAAGAGTGGACTTGGCTATTACATGCATACACATAATGTAACAAATAATAATAATAATAATAATAAGTAAATCAATATTCATTGAATGTTGTAAGATTGCGAATCTTGGTCATTATCACTTTGTGTTTTACTCATATAATGATCTTCTCGATTTAACGTTGTGGTGCAAAAAATTGAAAATATAACTAATATTTTAACTTATACTAAATGTTTTCATTTTCACTGTGTTCTTTATATTTCGTACTAGTGTGTTTCTCTCAAATTCTTCAATAAATGATGGAATTAAAAAAATCATTTAATTATTTACTGATATTATGAGATGACATGAGAAAGAAGCGGTTATTACATTATACTTATTTTGATAAGATTCATTTGTATTAAATAATAGCAAAATTGGATATGGAATAGTAAAGAGCATGTGTTAATTAGGGTGTAGAAATAATTTAGTGGGATAAATTGGTAACTAAGATTTGTTCCGATCAATTTGGACAATGATTTATGTGGACTTTAGATTAATTTGTAAGTTAGGATTGATTATTTTATATAAAAATAAAAATAATATTATTTTATTAAAAAAATAATATATATATATATATATATATATATAATTATAAATCAATTTGATAAAAAATTTCACGTGTTCTAAAAATAAATAATATTTTTTTAATATTTTTTAAGATATAATAATAAATTTTTATTATTTATTTATTTTAAAATATAATGATTAAGTTAAATTATTATTTTAAATCATTAAATTATTAAAAATAAATAAATAATGATAATTAAAAAATAAATTTTTAAATTTTATTTTAAAATTAAATACATTTCCTTTATATAATTTATATATTAAATTATTATATTTAAAATAAAAAATAATTTTATTAATATAATTAGAATTTAAAATATGTTTTTTTTAATATTTTAACAAATATATGTATGTTAATATATTTTTAAATTCTTATAATTAAATTAAAATTGATTTAGACTAAATTAAAAATTATAATTTATTCACAGTACTTGGGGCACAGAGAGATTTTTCATTTAACCGTGTGATGATGGCAACAACAGTTGGAAAGAAGAAAGTCAATGTAAGAAAGTCAATATCAGAAACTATGAGGCATATACACAAACTGATGGGAAAATGGGTCTTGTTTGTTTTGTGTCCATTTTCAGATTTTTTTACCAAATAGGTTCAGAAAAAAGGTTGATTTTATTTGAACTAAAATTTTTTTTATTAAAATGAGTTAAATTGTGTAAGATGACAAGAGTTCTATAAAGCTGAAATTGTACTTCAAAATACAATTTTGGCTAAAATCGTACAACGGTGTTAATACGTGAGATTTTTTATGTATGTTTTTTTTTTAAGATAGGATTTTTTTATTTTTATAAATATATTACTTATTAAATAATTAATTTTGATTTAATAATTAATTTAATAAAAAATAAAAATAGTTAGTGAAGCATACATAAATTAATTCAATATTATTTATTTATTTATTCAAGGATTTTAATCTGTTATTGATTTCTTTGGTGTTTAGATAGTATAAATTTTATAGTTTTGATCTAATATAAAAAACATTACAAGTAAAAGGAAAAAACAGTGAATCAAATATTAAAAGAAAAAAAAATTATAATCTACTCAAACAATATTTTATTATGTTAAGAAGCTTCTGATTCTGAAAGGTCATGGTACTTTTATTTTGTTATGACCATTATTATATATTACACATACATATGGTGTGTGTGAATATTTGATCTTAAGATGAAAAATAATTCAATTTCATTGTAAAATATTAGCAAAAGTGAGACTTTTCATTCTTTTCAATTGATTTAATATTAAAGTTTTATTATTGACCAGGTCTCAGATCTCTCTCACTTTGAAATGTTCCCTCCATACATGTAACTTTCGCAAATTATTTGAGGTCTACAAATATAGTTTTTAATATATAGTTTATTAATTAAGATGTATTAAAAGATACAAAATTACAAAAATAATATGAGATTCATTATTTTTATTTTATTTTGAACAATAAAACATGTGTTTCAAAAAATATCAAGAACAACATCATAAATTGCTACTATAATAATGGTTCAAAACATTTTGTGTAAGAATGGTTGGAGACACCAAACATGTAACACATTTAATGTTAATAACTAAATCGTTATACATTAACTAAAGTCTATAGACTTATTAACAACAAAATGTACATTTATCTTAAAGATTTGATTTGATTTGATGATGCTAAGTTTTTCTTAAATTTTAAATTTATTTGTAGTTTTTTTTTTTCAACATGATTGCAATCACCTATCTTAAGTGTGAAGATTATAAAATTTAGATAAAAAGTACAATTTACATTAGAAAAATTATTTTTTACGCAAGAATAACAATGAAATTTGAATTCAAAATGTTAATATACAAACTATCAAAACCTTTTTCTTATTGTGTGAATGCTAATACATTCGAGAAGAAGAATTATTAAATGCAATAAAACTAATCTATAGACAAAATTAGTGTACGAACAAAAAAAAACTTTTTATAGACGTTGCCAAATAGGAAATTGTTTTAGTTATAATCTGAAGTTATGGGAGAAAATAAGAGGGAGTTAAAAACAAAACAAAAAATACAATTATTTAAAAAGTTGTTACTAATTTTTACTCTTGTAAATTGAAAAAGTTGAGATTCGAAGAAAAATAATAATGAAATATTTAGAACGTGTACTCTATAATTTTGAAAAATAAAAAAATTTGATCAGAAGCTATTTTTTATTGAAATAAATTTCAAAAAAATTAATTACAAAAATTCATAAAATATATAAATTGTTTTTAGTATTGTATTTGTTTTATTTGTATCTTCATCGAATATATTATTTCTTAATGAAGTTGTCTAAATCATTCTATAAATTTTATTTATTCATTATGATTAACGTCATTATTATTTTTTAAAAATAATTTTCAAATTAAAGTTATAAGACAAGATATTTTTTAAAAATTTACTTAGAAAAACTCTCCGAAATTAATTACTAAATAAAATCACTTTTAAAAATAACAAATAAAACTAAATTAGACATTTGCATATGCTTTTTTAAAAGAAAAAGAAAAACACAAGAAAAGAAAAAAAAAGAATTTCTTCAAAAGTTAAACTTCGTTTATTCATTAGTTAAAAATAAAATTTAAAGAACTTACACAGGAGTATTTTAAAAACTAATTTTGACTTATGAAAATAATATATTTTAATTTTTTTCTCATTATGTACAGAGGTGAGAGTCCAATTCACCTACATAACTCATTGTGTTAAACTTATATTATTTATAATTCATTATAATAATAGAAATTCGAACTTGTTAATTAACTAGTGAAAAACTATCTTGCAGACCCATACAAACAAATTTAATTATGTAAAAATTTTATAAGTGTTAACTAGATAAATTAAATGGATTGTAACTTTTACATTTAAAAATAATCTATCAATTCATAATGAAACTTAATTTATAAGAAACAATTATTTAAACTAAATAATATAACATGAATGAAATAAAAAAATTATAATTTGACATTTTAATATTAATTATATGTATAAATGTAAGAAATTGATCCCCTAAATATACATCAGATGAGATGGAAAAGTGAACAACACGCAAGTCACGCGTGTACGCGTTATTGTGGAATACGTTGAATCGGTGTGAACACTTCAACTTTATTTTACACATTTTACCCTAAACCCAACCTACCGTCACATTCAACCCACAATTTATTGCTAACAAACAAAATATTATTCCTCATTTCCTACAATTCGCTCTATATTATGAAAATACATTTTTTTAATAAATAAATAAAAGTGAAAATTCGTTAGAAGTTGAAGAAAATGGTGATAAATGAAAATTTCAAAATGAAAATTTCAAAAGGAACATAACTACGAGATACTCACGCCACAATCTTAATATTTTATATACGAGAATTTAAGTATACAAAAATATTTCCTACATATTCATCACAGAAGAGAGTTTGATGTTTTCATAGAACCGAGAAAAGAATAAAATATGAAAATTAATAGGGACACATGTTTATAGAAAGACTATTCATCTAAGTATACATTAATTAATTAATTAATTAATTGACATAAATATTAAATAACAATAAATTTTTATTAATTATACATATAAAGAAAATTTCAATTAAACAATTATTCTAGAAATTAAATTACATTAAATAATAGATTATAAAACACAAAAAACAAAACAACCAAAAAAACGTTGATAATTAATTAACAGTTAAAATATAACATTAAAAAGTTAATAATATACCTTTGTAACGCAAGTTATTGAAAAGACATATTAAATAAATTAGTAAATATAAAGAAAAAATATTAATAATTAATTAATTTTAAAAAGTTTATAATAAGCATTTTTCATAAACAAATCTTTATGTATTAAACAATTTTTCCCAACATAAATATTACTTCCGTAAATATATATTAAATAAATGAATAAGTATAAAATAAATTAAACAACATCTCAATATATTTTAAGTTTTGATTATCTTTAGCCTAACAGGCTAGGCTCTTCAATTTGCATCCGAGAAAAAAAATTGGAGGTTTGACCCGACCCATCAGTCTAAACAACACAGCCCTGGCAAAAAATTGTACAGGGCTGAAAATTAGCAGGCCATCCCAGCCCATTTTCATACTCAGGTCCGTCCGCCAGATTGAGTTCGCCCATTTTGACATCGACTATTTTACTAATTGTACCACTCCAGGGTGGAAAAAGAATAAATAAAAAGAGTTTGAGAAAGAGAAAGAAAGGTAGTAAAAGGGGCAAGGAAATTCAGGAATTACAAAATAAGACCAACTTATCACAATGAGAGGAATATGTAGAGGCTAAATCAGTTCCACTAATCTATCCTTAAAACAAATACCCAAATTCTCCAAACTAAAATTTCAATGCATCACCTTTTGTTACCTTTTTTTCATTTGGTTGAAAAAAAGGAAGTAGCGTGTCAGAGGTGACTCGAGGAAGATTAAACGTAAACAAGAATAAACTCATGCATTGTAATTAAAGCGATCCACATGTTTACTACTGCTATATCACGAAGTTTATCTTCACTACTGCTGTGCCAGCCAATAAGTCAATTGAAGCAATAACACGATACATAGCCAAGTTGGTAGTTTACACTGACCAAACCGCTAAGGAAATCTGTACGCAAAATCTTACAGAAATGGAACTCGGGCTAGAATCAGATACCTGTCAATATTAATTTCTGTCCATTTCAGAAGGCGGTTGTTGCGGCGAGCTGCGACCACCTTGTCTGTGCACTTCAGCAATACTCTGAGAAGCTAGGTATTCCAGTGCAACAACAATATCACCAATAAGTGGACGGAATTTTGGTTGCTCCTGGAGACACATGGCAGTTATAGCAATTGCTTGATGCAAACAGCGCAAGGGGAAGTTGCCTTGTAAAAGAGGGTCAACCATATGTACAAACTTTCTCCGGTCACTGAAATACGGACGAGACTGGACAAAAAAAATACCAACTATAAGAAGTAATCTTATATGTGAAGAAGATTCATTTAAATAAAGTCATCAATAGAACGAAAAATGACATATTTAACATGTCAATTAATTCCAATGATTTATTATAATTTATGGAGAAGGATACAAACATCTTATGATCACACGTTATATATTTCATAATGAGACATGATCTACTTTCTAGTTTTTCCAGGCTTTTCTATATAAAATGATGCGAAGATTCTCAATATATACTGAAAATATGAAAATCTAAAAGGAACCACTGACATGCAAAGCTAAGACAAACTAACATGCTTAAGTTAAAGAAGAATTTATTTTTAAAGAAACTACACAAATTAAACATTTACCCATGAAACCAAGTTTTGCTCTCCCGGTTTTCTACTGACATCTATAGCTCTACGTCCAGTGATCAACTCCAACAAAACCACACCAAAGCTGTATATATCAGATTTAAGAGTTAATTTTCCACTCATGGCATACTCAGGCGCACAGTAGCCATATGTTCCCATCACTCTGGTAGAAACATGGGTATTGTCTCCAACAGGTCCAAGTTTAGCAAGCCCAAAATCTGACAGTTTTGGGTTGAATTCATTATCTAACAAGATGTTTGCAGATTTCAAGTCTCTGTAGATAACAGGTGGATCTGCTTTACAATGGAGATACTCGAGGCCACGAGCAGCTCCAACAGCAATCTTCATTCGAGAACTCCAACTTAGGGGTTCTTTGTCTTGGGCAGGATCTGAAATGAGAGATAAAGTTATAACCTGGTTAGTAATGGTATATTTAATCATTAAAAGTAGGAGGTAAAAAATCACATAAAGGAGAAGCTAATTTAGGGATATATTGCAATAGGAATTCATACCAATGCATCCTAATCGAAACTAAACTGTTCTTCTCATAACTTTACATTTACGCGAAGATATTTATTATCTTAAATTTAACACATCTTGTTGACCTACACAAAACAACTGTGATCTCTTTTAATAAAGTACATTATAATCCAAGCACAACCTTAGCCTGCTGAAAAACCACATGTCTCATCGATTGCAGAAGAGCAATAATCTTCTATCGGGCAAATAGCAGTTTAAATATAAAAATGTATGCTGTGTGCAAATGAAAATAAAATGCATGACACTGTCATAATATTAACTAAAAAGTTCAAAATTATAATCAGTCAACCCTGGATAGCAGCACATAACGGCCAACACTAAAATTTCCAAATCAGGATACCAGGAAGTAAGATGGCCACTATTGTGAAGTCTAGAAACCTTATACATAATTTATATCATACAGATAAATACTAAAAATAGAAAAATACACAAAACTGAAGACATAGTCGTAATAAATAATCAAAATCCACTGTCATTGTCACTAACAGTCATATCCAATATTACTCGAAGACTCGCTTTGGATCATTGTTCAAATGGGAGAAGGGTCAACCTAATAAAACTCAAAGGGGTGCCAAAAAGGGGTAAAGTTCGGTTTTCAGTGCTGCTTCAAAATCACAGGCACTAAAGCTCGGGACCTCTATCATTTGGACTGAAATAGCGGATTCATTCCACTTCTTCAAACCTGCAACACTGCACCCTTTTGCATCAAATAGAAGCCAAATTCGTGACTCCTATTTGCTATTCGCTGCAGTAGCAGCGAGTTTGCCAACATAGGATCAATTGGTTGATGACTTGCCAGATATGACGAGATGTAAGGACACTTGCCAGATATGACGAGATGTAAGGCCATAACCTCAACACCCATAGTGGCCGCAATACTGGAAGAAGTTGTGATCGTAGGTATGAAGAATTCCTTAATGCAATATAGCAGCTATGTAACAACACTTCCCAAGAGCTGCTTGCAGCCCATACACTAAAATAGTTAAATCCCAGAAGAAGTAAACAAATACACCCTTATTAAGAGGGAGCAAGAACCTTATCTACCCTCATTCCCTCCATAGTGGACTAATTTGATTTGTACAACTCTACTCAAACCACTTCCACTCAGTTACGGACAATCTTTTCTAGAAGAAGGAAATGGACAAAAGTTTTTCTCTCTATATAGATATACTGCAGTTTTTATGGACTTAATAGCAATAAAATATCAACAGAAAACAAATGATATATGTCTAGGGTTAAAAACCATCATGCAATACTAACACAAATGAACAACCCTTATCCCAGTAAGAACGAGATGTGCAATGTGCACATTTGCATAGAATCTTGATTAACAATTACTGGGATATCCAGAAATTGTAGAACTTATCCAGAAAATTTAACAGCGTGTTTGATCTGGCGTTTTGAACACGTGTGAGTTGACATTTTAGCATCATATCATTAAAAAGCGGGAGAAACAGCTTTGTCATGCTTCAGGAGGACATGCGTGCATAGGTGGAAAACGCGCATCTAAGCAATAAGTTTGTATTACTTCCCGCAGTCAAGGTTGTAATGCAGATTATATACAAATGAATGAACTAGAAAACATGATATAAGAAACCAACTTCTAAATGCTGAAAGTACACAACTCATGGTTACCAAACATAAGCAATCATAAGTTTACCAAAAAGATGATCTTCCAGTGAACCCATCGGCATGTACTCATAAACCAAAAGCCTTTGATCTCCATCAGTGCAGTAGCCAATTAACTTCACAAGATTAGAATGGTGCAGCATGCTCAACATAAGAACCTCCGTCACGAATTCCTGAAAACCTTGCCGACCATCATGACTCAATTGTTTCACGGCAACAAGCTGCGCATCATTTTTTTATAAAAAAAAAAATCTCAATCATGAGACAACCGAAATATTCAAATGCCCAAAATCCAAGAATCAGATACCACCATTTGAAAAGAAAAAAAAAAAAAACAGAGAAAATAGCAAAATTTAAACTTGCCTCGCCTGTTGAAAGTCGACCCTTGTAGACCCTTCCAAAACCACCTTCTCCAATTAAGTTCAATTCCTTGAAACCCCTCGTCGCCGCAGCGAGTTCGCGAAAACCAAAACTAGCAGCCGCGGTACTTCCTTTACTACTACTCACACTCTTCCCCTTTCCCTCTGAGGATTCTCTCTTCCTTTCACCCTCTGCAATTAAAATTAAATAAATTAAAAAAAAAACATTATTAAAATCCATTTAACAAATCAAACTAACAAATTTTAAAAATGAGTCTGAAAACGAACCTGAGGAAGAAGCAGTAGCAGATCGAGTCCCATTGTCAATTTCAACCCTTCTCACATCTTTCCGACGAGAAACAAAGCACGAAAAGCAACTCATATCTACAGAGAACTCAATTTCACTTAAACTAACTAAACAATAACAATGCTAATTAAGAAGAAATAAGATCCCTTATGGATGAATCAGAGAAGATGTTGCATTTGGATTTCCCTCTGTAGGGATCACTGAACCCAGCCCCCAAATTAATAATAATAATAAATAATAATAATAATGAGGTTGCTCAAAATTGAAATGAAGGGAAGGAAAATGCTGTCCCTGGAAGATAAAATTTAAGACGCGTAGGAAACAATCTGAATTTGGTTTTATTTTGTCTGTTAGTTCAGGCTGTTCTGGAACTAGATGCAACACTAGTTTAGCGAAACTCACGCACTGTATCTAATATATTTTTTTTTATTTACTTTTTAATTTCCCAGTTGGAATTTAAATTCTTTTATTTTGTGCTGTTTAAATAGTCTTGGCATTTTCTTTCTTTTTCTTTTTTTAATTTTCATTTATTTTGAGTTTTGAATTAATCGAGTTCCACTTTGGTTGCATTAATGTCCCTGCGTGATTTCTGCAAGTCACTCTCTATCCTTCTCTTTCAATCTAGTGCGCATTTATAAACGTTACGGTCCCAGCCATCATCGTTTCCATTGTCTTTTTACCTTTTTGCCCTCGCTGTTCCGTTGAGAAAAGTTGTTGACCCTGTTAAACTTTTAACGGCACAACTAGACTCAGTTAGTCAATAAAAACTATTTAAATAACCCCTTTCACTTTCCACCGTCGTTTAATTGTTATATTATTAAACAAGTGGTTGAATTGGTTGCAGGTTTTTAAATTTGAGTTTTTTATTATCTCAACTTTTAAATTGAGTTTTATTTTTTTAAAATGGATATATAATTGAAATCAATACTGTAATTAAATTTGTTTAAGTGCTTAAATTATTATCAATTAATTTATTATTTTAAAGCACATTTTTCAAATCTATTATGATTAAATTTAATTTAAATAATTTATTTCAGACTGAATTCAATTTCTTTTTACAGTCCCAAATCTATAATTATTAATATTAAAATAAAATATATTTTTATACGACCCAGTTTTTAGTTAAATTTCTTTTTCCAAACCAGAATCTAGTATTACTAGTATGTGGTGAAAAAAATTACATTTAATAATTCAATTTATATTTAATAACATTATCTAAAAAACTGTAGATTAAAAAGAAGTACGTTAATCTTGAAAACAAAAATGAACATACCATTTTCATAATATCAATGTAATATTTATAAATAAAGAGATAATTTTTTATATGAAAAAAATTTGTTACTAAAAGTAGTAATTTTAAAAAATAAATATAAAGTATATTTTGAAAAAATAATATTTACTTATATCTATTTCTTATTAGTTTCTTAAAAATTTTAGTTTATGAATCTTTTGTTAAAAATAAATGTTTAAGAAAAAATGACTATTCATAAACTTCTGTATGAAAACTTTATTAAAAAATTATAATCATATATTAAAGTATAAATTATTAAAAAATATATTATTTTAAAATTTATTTCATTAAAAAAGAACATATAATTATATAAATAATTTTGTAATTAAATAAATATTTAATTCTAATTTATTTATTTATCATTTTTTAAATAAAAATTTTCTTCTCAATCAAATATATATATATATATATATATATATATATATATTCTTTTTTTCTTTATTCACATTTTTTATTCTTACTGTTCAACTTAGATGAAATTGAGATCATATTCTTTAAATAGAATTATATATCTAAGCTTTGTTGATTAAAATAAAATATTATGAGGAAAAAGTCTATTTTCAACGAGAAAATCCATAAAAAAAATATTGGTGAACTAACTAAAAATAGTTTGATTTTTACCAAATCCAAATATACATGTTAGGTAAAGAGACAAAATTAAACTTGAGAATGAATATTAATGTAACCTTTAATGCCATCAATGTAATGTTTATATTTAATAAGAAAATTTGTCCTATTGTACCTTAAACACAATCTTTCTATTTAATTAAGAATTTTAAAAACACCTTATAAAACATACTCTACAAAATAATAATAATAATAATAATAATAATAATAATAATAATAATAATAATAATAATAATAATAATAATAATAAACTCTAATCTACATTTATGTATCTACAAGTCCAATAATGGTACTTGAATTAACATTTAAATTGATGAATAGGTCCATTAGATAATCTTTTATATATACTTTAGGAAAAATAAAATAAATTTTAAATAATATTTTTTATGAATTAAATTAATTTATTCATAACTTGAAAAATCTAAATAAAATGGATCTATAAATTAGCATATACGTAAAATTTTAATTTAAAAATAAATTTGTATATTTTTATTTCATAACTTATTTTCCTAAAAGTGTTTATGAATTGTGTCAAATATATTTATGATTGGTTCATTTTCTATTTGTATGGTTAATTGATTTATATAAATATATATCCTAAATTATTAAATAAAAATATTATAGTCAACGATATAGTATAAGCAACAAATAAACATATACCATTTGACTAATTCTATCCATTTGTTAGTCAAATTCACTGTCATTAACAGTTCTTATATACTTCTAACATGTCATCGTGGTGTTGCCCTATAATTACCATGACCACCTTCTCTTTCAATTTTTCTACCAAAATATAAGTCATTTATTAAGTTGTGTTTAAAAATAGATACTTATAGTAATTAAAAAAATCACGATCAATTGAATTGTTTAAATTTTCAAAATAATAACATGAAATATGTTTTTTAAATTAATTGATAATATACATATATATATATATATATATATATATTCATTTATTCTAAAATTAAAAATTTATTTTATATTCAATATTTATTTTTATTTGATGATAAAATATCATTTAAAATTATTAATTTATAAAAAAAAAGTTTTAAAGTAAGTGATCAATCAACTTTATATATATATATATATATATATATATATATATATATATATATATATATATATATATAAATTAATTAATTAAAATATAAATTAAATATTTTTATACCCGATATTTTTTGTTTTATTTTGATGACTATTATATAAGTTTTGTTTTTGAATTTCGTTTTAATCTCTTATTTTTGTGTTTAATTTTAATATATATATATATATATATATATATATATATATAATATTGACGTGAATAATTTAATTTCAGTAAAATTAATTAGGATATTATATTTAGTTACATCTAATACTTATTATAAAGTTGAAATTTTGATATATAATTAACTATATAAAATGCAAAGCTAAACAAACCTTTTTTTAATATTTAACGAGATGTGTAGGTCAAACTATTTTCGAAATGATACGAGTTATAGATAGTAGGATCTAAGTGTAGAACAAATCAAGAGGCTTTGGAATTAAAATCGACCCCATTGGTAGCAAATAACTGAACACATAAAGTTCATAAGTAATTATATGCTTCACACATTTAATTAAATCAATGGATTAAGTTTATTAAAAGTACTTAAAGAAAAACGAATTGATGAGATTGAAGTTGAGATACTTGATTGAAAAGATAATAACATGTTTGAATATTTGAAGAAGGTCAAAATCAGAGAAGAGTATTGTCGCGCATTCTGTGCGCAAGAAGTCCGCAACGAGAAGAAAACAAATTGAGTTTTAACCATTTTGACCTCCACGTGTCATTAGTAGAAGTGCGCTGTGCCGAAGATAAAGACACAACGTACCTCATCCAATCCAAGAATAAACCAAGATGTCGCATGCACGTAAAGGTTACCAGCCAGATCATGTTTTTCTTTGCTTGAACTCTGGCTTTCTCTTTCTCTCTGTCTTTCTCTTTATCTCCACACTCTCACTTTCTCAATGTCTTACAACACTACTCATTCAGAATAAGAATAATCAACCAACTATTTATAACAAACATTCTCCTTCGAGGCTTTCACCTTACACAATATCATGATTCTTAATAAAGAAAATGAAAAACCTTCCTCTTCTCCGCTACTATTCACCCACCTCAAATTCTTCTTGTTTTTTCCACCACAACATTTCTGTCCCTTGCATTTCGATCCCAACATCAACAAACCAACAATACCCAACGGCTTGTCTTCGTCGTCATTGTTATCTTTCCTTTGGGAAACCATGCGACGGAGACCACGCACCACCTTCCTTGTGTCTGTGCTTTCCATTGTCACCTTCGCTTCATTTTCACTTTACCTCTCTCGCAATGCCATTTCCACTTGGCAACCTCAATCTGACCTCGTAAAACTTAACACCGACGTTCACTTCCTTCTTCACAGAAACAAAAACGAAAATGTCGCTCACAATCACCATGAAATCATCCGCCAAACACGTCGTGTGTCCTCCATCAAGGACTCCTTATCCACCGTTTCCGTTCTCATCCCCGATTGGGAGATTCTTGTCATCGTTGTCACCGACACACCTTTATCCTCCTCCGACCAATACCATTGCCTCTTCCCCAACAATGTAAAGTCCTTGGCCAGATTCTCCGGTGTCTTACCTTTTACCAATCACACCACCTTCAAGTGTGACTTCCCGGAATCGGTTCGGCGTCATCGCATGTTCTCCCAACCTACGCTTGTGACAGGAACATCGGGAAATGAGTTCCCGACACCAATGCCTGAACTCATAAAGTGGAACTTTCTCGTGTTCGAGTCTTTCTCCACGGAAAATGATGTCGTCGTGTTCGCCAAAGGGGTGAACCATCGGAATGGAGACGATAGGTCTCCGAAGGAACTCCGTTGCTTGTTTGATTTCGGAGACGGAGTTCGTAGCGCCGTTACGAGCTCTGTCCAAGAAGTGTTTCGTTGCCCCCATCCAGACCCGTTTGAATCAGGTCTAGATTCTTATTATGGGTTGTCCAAGAGAATTAGAATCTCCCTTGAGATTGTTGCAGAAAACATCATTGTCCCCTCGGTGGCATATTACATTCCCAGGCCCAAGCCCGAGTTCAAGCCCGACGCTGTAGTTGTACAAGGAGATTTTGTGCAAGCGCAACCCAAATATTTGCTATGTGCATGCACCATGGTTTACAACGTGGCAAAATTCTTACGAGAATGGGTTATGTATCATTCGAAAGTAGGTGTGGATCATTTCATATTATACGACAATGCGAGCAATGATGATTTGTACGGTGTGATAAAGGAGCTCCGAGAAGAAGGCTACAACATCAGCACTTTGTTTTGGATTTGGCCAAAGACTCAAGAAGCCGGGTTTTCTCACAGCATTGTGTACTCCAAATCAAAGGGATTGTGTAGTTGGATAATGTACGTGGATGTTGACGAGTTCGTGTTTTCTCCATCTTGGGGACATGAAAGCGTTCCTTCTTTGAAATCGTTGTTGCCGCCACGGGAAGAGTTAGAAGGAGGAATAAAGAGCAGGGTGGGACAAGTGTCGATGAGGTGTTTGGAATTTGGGCCTTCGGGTCAACGAAGACACCCAGAGGAAGGTGTGACGCAGGGTTACACATGTCGAATGAGGGGGGATCAGAGACACAAGTCGATGGTGTTGGTGGATGCAGTGGACCCAAGTTTGCGGAACGTGATACATCATTTTGAGGTGAATGAAAAGGAAGGGTTCATGTCGAAGCAGGTTAGCGTGGAGGAAGGGTTGGTGAATCACTACAAGTACCAAGCATGGGATGAGTTCAAGAACAAGTTCCGAAGGAGGGTTTCTGCGTATGTTGTGGATTGGAAACAAGAGTTGAACCCAACCTCGAAGGATAGGACTCCTGGGTTGGGATTCCGAGCCATAGAACCCAAGGATTGGAGACATAGATTTTGTCAAATTAGGGACGAGAGGTTGAAATTGTTGACCTTGGAATGGTTTGGGTTGCCCACACCCAACGGCTTCAGAATGGCGTGGCAAAACGATTGATTCATTCCTAATCATTCTAAGCGTTTTCATTGTTCAGATAGAAAAACTGGTTTCACATTTTCATTCCTTTTTGTTTTCTGTTCCCTCTTCGTTTTTACTCGAGGAATGGATTTATTGCAGGACCTGTCATTGTTCCATTTCGCATTCATGTCCTTGTCTTTCACTCTCATCTATTCTGACATGTTTTTTCGAACGTGGCTTCATTTTATTTTTTCCTTTTCTTCGTTAGAAATCAACAATGGTTGTCATTTTATAACGTGAAACACAAAATCAAAACCACGACACACTTTTGAAGTCTGTGAAGGATTTTTGTAGTCCCTCTCTATGGACCCAAGGGGAATATCTAATACCAATACTTACGAAAAAAAATTATTATAATTTTAAATATAAATTACTCTAAAATCGATCAAAATTATTAATATAAATATTTTTTATTTTAAATAACTTTTAATTCATATTTAAGTTTTATAATAAAATATTTATTTTATTTTTAAATAAATTTTATAACAAATTTGCAGATGTTTCGTCATTAATATCAATGAATCACGACTCAGTTATTAAAAAAACATCACATACTTTTTATCCATAGCCACTTCTTAGCCTTAATTGAGTGTAAGAGGGGTTAATCTCAAGATCAATTAAGGAAATATTATAAAAGAATATATTTAATTTTTATTATCAGAATAATGTCAATTATTCAATGTACATATATTAAAAGTTACAGTTGTAGAAAACTCTTTTGATTCCCAATAATATTTTAATATTTCAAGAATTGATAACTCTCAAAAATCAAGTTTGTACAAGTTACGACATTCTAAATTAGGCTATTGCCAATTTCATTAATGTTCCTAAGAATTATACTTTTAGAATATGTAAGATATTTTATAATCTTTTTTTTACCTCATCTAATACTATTTATAATAAATCCTTACAATTTTTTTTTTATGGGACCTTCTCTAATTCCTTATTCCCATGAAAATGATTACATTCACTTAGTGGTGTTTATTCCAAATATAAATGAATTTATCTAATACAAATGTCAGGTTTTCTCTACGTTTTAAAAAATATTAAAAATCACCTCAATTTAAAAATAAAGTATTATAGATTAATAATGGTAAAACATTATATATGTTTTTTATTCTATTGTTATATATATTATTATAATTTTTCTTTTATTGATCATGCTATGTATTTTATAATTTTTTTATAATATTTAATATTATAATAGTGTTATAATCCATTTTTATATTTAAATATTATTTATTTTAAAAATTTAACATATCATGATTTTATTTTTAAATAATTAAAAAGAATAACATATATAAATTATTCTTACTCATATTATTAAATAATACAAGATGGTGTAATGTAATAATACCAAATACAAATCTAAGCAACAATGAAAGATTAAAAAAAAAAAGCAGCACGTGACTTGTGATGGGTGATGTGCGGTGAAGCTAAAGACAGAAAGCACCCCAACCAATCGAAGAATAAAGGAAGAGGTTAGAAGCACCTAAAGATCACTTCTTTCTTCCTTTTCTATTTCTCTACTTCACTTTCTTAACCACACAAGATCAAGCCTTCTCAATATACTACACCACTCTTCTTCACTCCAACGCTTGAGAGACACATCACATGTGCATGTAGTTTCTATGTATGAAGGCCTTCTCAAATAATCCTTCAACCTTGCAAACATTCTTCAAATTTTTCATTTTATTCAATAATATGTTTATCCATCATCAGGGTCTCTGCATATCTTGTGGATTCTAGGCAAAATGTCTCCGAGTTTAGGGAGCGTAAGGTTCAACTTATTCAGTCTCAATCAGAGGACACCAATACACTATTCATCATTTCATTAACTTTTTTTTTTTTAAATATCATATAAGTTAAGAGAAAAAAAGTGTTAAAGAGTAAAAGTATCTTTTTATCATCTAATCATAAATAATAGTTTATATATTTTTATCATTTAATTTATCATAATTTTATTTTACTTTGACTGTACATATAAATTATTATTATTTACTTTAAATAATCTTCTCTTTTTTACAATACTTTATAAATAATGTATCATACAATGATAAATTCAAAGAAAATAACTTAAAAACATCTTTAAGAAAACGTTACAAATAATATATTTCAACTAAAACTTCACATCAATAAATAAATTGAATCTATGTTTTAAATTTTTCGATGTTCAAGTAATAAATAAATATAACATAATTTTATTTCATAACTTAAGGTTAAGCTCCAAACATTAAATTAGAAAAAAAAACAGATTTTCATTGAGAGAAAGTATTTATATTTAATATCTATATTCAATAAGATTGTCTCTACCACACAATGTAAAATAAAAAAATAAAACCAAAATTCATACTTTACACCTATCTAAATAAGATGGATAACGAATTTCTCTAGCGTAAATTTTACATTTTTACCTTGGAGAATTACAGTATTTGATCTCACCATTAAAAATTATTAAAATATATAATTTGGTAAAGGTTTTTATTTTAAGTTATATTTTTAATAATTGAGATTTCATGCAGTGGAAACTTCACTGTATAGAGCTGCAGAAAAAACCGTCACTATCAGCAATGAGCTGTGGCTGGCTTACATTATAGTTATAATCATTAAATTATTAGTTGACATAAAGAAAATGCAATAAGAGGATTGTTATCCAAAACAATAAAGTAAATGTGCAGAATAATTAAACATTTAACGTCTCAATCGCACGTATGTCGTAAAGACTTGGCCGATACCAATTCAACTGTATACTTACTGGTGTGGCCAACCTCTATTATGAAGAAATCAAAGAACAAAAAATTCAGAAGAAAAGGCTCTGCTTCTGATTTTAAAAAAGAAAGGTCCATTAAATTGTGTCTTTTCTTTCCTATGACATGACAATATCATGTTAGTAACCAATATGAGAGGATTCAATCCAAAAAAATAATAATATATCATCAGAGCTGTAATGCCAAATTGGGCTGCAACTGAGAACCAGCCTCCAAGTTTGAACTACTAGGTGAATTTGTGGTTCCAATCCTTCCATTCAAGTCATTAGCCAGTGCAAAAGAATTCTGTTTGGTGGGAACTTCTAATCCCTGCCAAGATGATTTTCCAGCAATCCCTTGAGACCAACTTCCTGGTTCAATCCCAGATTCCCGGGTCAATAAATTGCCGGATTCTAATTGACTTGATTTGCTCACGTATTGTCCCATTAGAGAAGGATTAATACTTGTATGCGCAATGCGGCTGCTTATGGGATCCATGTCAAACATTTGAGGAACAACCCCAGCACCCGGAGACCCAGTTAGGTCAGCAAGTCTTACCATCTTCATTTGTGGTGAAAAATTAGAACCTAACCAATCATGTGAACCAAAATCAGTGTGCGGCATGGATTCCTGCTGAATCCTCACAGGAGTTATGGACTCAGACCCACCACCAATGTTGATTGCTGGATTAAACTCCTTTTGGTAATTATTTATAACCGTGTCTCCACTTTGCAAGCATGATCTATTTGCAAGGGGGAATGATCCAGATGGAGAAGAAAATCTACTTCTACTATCCTCTGCTGCTACAGGAGGGTCTGAAGTTCTACCCTCATCACAAACTGGGAAGTGTTGCCTCTGTGACCCGTCATCTTCACTTACCCATCCAGGACCAAATTCATGTCCTGCAGGCAAAACACTGCTGATTTTACTTGCAGCAATCTTCCAAACAGCAGGACCAAGATCTGCAGCAAAATGGGCTAGACTTCTTGCATAACTATGCTTCATGTGTATACCAACCTGATTTATACAAAAAGTAGCGGACGTGAATTTTGTGACCAACGAAAAAACCTTTGAATTTGACTGAGCATGAGGTATTAAAAACAAGATAGAGAGTATAGAATACTTTGTAAGTATCATGGTTCATAAAAGAGGAAAGAGTAAACAAGAAAAAAAAAAAAAGTTCGTACTGCAAGAAGTTGCTTGACTTCATCTTCAACTGTGGTCAACACCGGTCCTTCATTTCCTAAAGTCGATGGTATTTTGTAAGAATCACGCCTGGTCTCATCAACTGCATACTGCTTCTTTCCATATCTTAACACAGCTTTTACAACAGAAGCTGCAAACAAACACATAATTAAATGAATAATTCCAATATCTGAAGGCATTTGTTTATCCCTAGTTTAATGCAGAAGGTATGAGACAATGGGAAAGTAAGGTTAGACCTGGAAATTCGCTCTCCCATTCAGACCAGCCAGTATACCCTCCACTGTTAAAAGTGCTGTTGTAGGCCCTAGCAGATGAATCTGTAGGCTGAAATTTGCTTGGTCCTTTCCTTAGATTATAACCGTTGGAGCCACTAGCAATATCCCCTCCAGAAGCAAGAGTTGCGTCAGAAGAAGATTCAGGACCAACACGCTCAGCAGGAGCCATACCCAGTGACTTTCTTGAGAGCTTGCCTGGTGGCCTTCCTCTCTGTACAACTTTGGGCTGTGGTTCACTATCATCACTATCTTGCCTCAGATTCTCAAAGTCCTTCCTTGCGATCTCTTGCATGGCTCGGGCCTAAAAAAGATGTAAAATGTTTACCTTTAACAAACACTAAAAAGGGATTGAAGCAATTTAGTTTAATTACAAACTTCACCAAACCTGTCGATGGTAAATGGTATCTGATGAATTATATTGCATTGCATTGGAGCAAATCAAGAACACATCTTTCTGCAAGAATGAAGCAACAGTGTGTCAAATTTGTATCAGACAAACAAGAAATATTCTCCTCGATGATCAAAGTAGTACATGGAACCCAAACCATCCACTCATTAGCCCGTAACACAACAGTGTGTTGGATTCATTAGTGAAGATCTGCTACAATGACTAGAAATGTAAACTTACCCAAATCAGACATATAAGTGAATATAAAACAGCGGAGCATGCCAAGAAGCAGTCATCGCTCATATGCATGGGTTTAATAAAGAACAAACAATGACATAACGATAATTACATACTGCACGGCACATGACATATCAGGAATAACTGTCCTTAATTAATAAAACTTGAGAGCATGCACGAGGTTACAAACTATCGTTTTGTCATGTGTTGGTTTCACAAGAAAACTTTTTAAATCTTACAAGCAGCACTAGTTTCAAAAATCTCTTAATAGTTATATGACCCTTCTATATAACTGTCTAGCATACATTAACCATAATTCAGAAGCATTAATCTGTAGTTACATTCCAGGTGTCCTATCATGGTAATGAAATAAATAAATGAGTAATGTTTCTTGAGAATAAGCAATAAAAAAGGGAAGGTAGATACAGTTGTTCAATTGGCTGATGGAAAATAGCAATTGTTCATAAACACTCGAAACAGAAAATGTAGTAGCATCAGTTACTTAGCAAGAATCAAGAAATAAGCACTGTGCGCAACATTATCTGAAAATCATACTTTTGTTTCAACTACTTTTCAATTCATCGGTAAACATAACAATAAAAAAAAAAAAACAAAATTACATAATACAATGTCATGGGATTTTTGATCCAGAAGCAAATGACGAATCGGTTGTTAGAAGAGCTTTCGCGAGCTGCTGCAAAAAATAGTAGCACCAACCTCAAAATGTTCCAAGTCAGTATACAGTCCCCCATCCAATTTCTTTCTCACAGTTCCAAAATCCATCGGGTGTTTAATGATGTCATGATAATCAGGAAGCTGCAGGAACAAAGTTTATGTGTTGAGAATTCAAACAGTGAGAAATCAATTGCAAGTACTCTTATATCATATAAAAAAAAAGGTGCACCTCTTCTGGATCCACGGGCTCAGAGAACACCCCATGTGTGTCCTTTCTGCAAGACGGTTGAGCAGTACAGAAACATCAAATACCCAACTTAAAAAAAAACAAACGAGGAGGAAAAAAAATAAAAGGAAAAGAAAGAAAGAAACAAATAAGACTACAAGAGGCACACTTTTGAAGCCTGTCAAGGATAAACAGCAAGAGCTTTTTGTCTGGCAAAGGTGTAGTGGGACCGGACTCCCCCTGCGAACCTGTCAACACATAATATAAAAATCGCCATTAATATTCCCCCACTATACTATGTATGCCCCCTTGCCATTGCACCTCCATTGAGATATCATTTCATAAAACTCTTCATTTCATACATACCATGTTTACTGTCAGTCGCTTTCGGAACCTTCCCATCCTGCAAGCAAAATCACCCCATCATCAAATACCATATAAAGACATGTCCGTGTGATTTTGTAACACACAACCATCCACTTTTTATCTATTGTCCTCCAAAAGAGAATCGAAAAATCAACCCCTCCAAAAAACAATTATTATTTTTTTTTAAGAAAAAAAAAGGGCGCAACTCACGAGCAAGCTACTAAGCTATAGAGTCTTGTGCTGAAGGGAAAGGAATAAAAGAGAAAATTAAAAAATGAATAGCCCCAACAATACTGGGAGAAAAGACAAATTGAAGCTTTTATGCATATCCGTGCATAAACGAAGGCTCGATCTGGCGTACAGCCAATAATGAAAGATTAAAATTAGGGCCAAAAAGAAAGAAGAAGCACCCACCAGTGCCAGTGCCCCACATAAATTTTCCCCCAAATAAATAAAATTAATTAAATAAGACGAAAACTGAAAACCTAAACGGTCAAACCAACAAACACATCCACCGGTTCCGAGTTCAGCGAGTTCACCGCGAATTAAAATAAAAACAAAAGGAAACAATATTACGCGCGAATTCCCAAAAGATAATAAAATAAATAGACAAAATCGGCTTCTAACACCAAGACCCCACAAATCGGAAGAGCGGAACAGATAGATTGTAATAACGGATGAGATGAATGGCGAAACGCACCGTTTGGTGGTAGTGGAGAGGGTCAATCTTACGCCTCTTGGGATCGGAATTGAATGGCTGGGAATTGGGGAATAATGTTGGGTGGTGGAGGTGTGAATTGAGTCCTACGAGGAGCTTGTGCTTCTTCTCTTTGCGCTCGTCGTCGTCGTCGTCGTGGGGAACAACGTTGGTGTTTTTGGAGTGGGAATTGGTGGAATTGGAGTTGTTTTGTCCGTGGTTATGGTGGTGATTCTGTTGTTGTTCCTTCTTGAGAGATCGCTTTTGAAGATCCAAAAGAGAGGGGCGTCCCTTCTTCTTCTTCTTCGTCATCGTTTCAGATACCTCGCCCATTGTTTCCTCCTCTTTTCTCGCTCTCCCCAAACAACACACACAAACAAACACGTCCAACACCTTCTCTCTATTCTCCCCCTTTTTTAACCAAAACTATTTTATTTTATTATTATAATTCATTTATAAATATATATAAAAACAAAATAAAACAAAATATCTATATTCTGCTCCACGCGTGCACCTCACGTGACTCTCCCCTCTCTCTCTTCTTACTTCTACCTTTTCTTCACCTCACACTCACTTTCTTTCATCACAACCAAACCGTGCCTCTCCTCTCATTATTTATTCTCTTTTTTGCTTTTCACATTTCGGGTTATTTTTCAAGTTATTATTACCACTTCCTAAACCGCAGAAATGGTAACTATTAACTATGGTGTCCAAACACTTTGACATTGCAATTGCAAACCTACAAAGTATTATAACTTGTATTTTATTACCTCCTATAAATTTACTTTTGCTTTAAAGAAGAAAAAAAAAACTCCTAGAAAGTAACTATAGTTTTTAAATGGCATATAATATAATAGTTCTTGTTAATAAATTGATATTTATACTTTTATGGCAAGCTTTTTATTTTGTAAAATGTAAGTGTTTTCTTATGAATTTTGTATGCTTGCTTATATTGATTTGAATTTTCCGTTCAATTGGAAATATTTTTCTTGTTCTTTTTCTTTTACAAACTTCCTATCGTTCTTGGTGTGTTAATGTATTTAAAGACAAGTTGTTATCTATCCTAATCAAAATATTTATTTAATAATTTAGATATTGATATAATTTTATATTAAAAACATATTTTAATGTTTCATAAACAGTTTTGAAATACTATATATTGATATATTATTGAGATAGAGTTAATTTTAGTGAATAATGCATCAAAAATCATTGATAAAAAAATCATTAACCTTATTTCTTATTTTATATACATAAAAAATAGTATTTTATCCTAAAATAAACTAATTTTTTTAAGCCAGAAAAACTTATCCCAGAGAATATATATTTTAAATTATAGTTTAATATTTCTTAATTTGACATATTATACTTGAATAACTTAACACCACAGTACATAATAGCTGAGAACAAAGGTGAGGGTGTTGGATACCACCAACAATATCGTAACTAAAAAAATTAGCTTGCAAACTTTAAGCGAATTTAAGATTAACACAATAAAAAAAATAATGTATAATTTAATATTTGAGAAGTGTCATGCAATTAAATTATTAACTAATGGGTATAAACTGTACAAAAGTTTAAATGACGAAATCAACATCTGTTTAACTTTTGTATGACTTATTATACAAAATTTGAAGTTTCATTTGCCAATGGAAACAGATGACGAAAGATAATGTAAAAATGAAAAAGAAGCAAATATAAAATTTATTTTCATGCCCATTTATAAAGAACACGCTTTTGTTGCCTTTTAAAACTATATAAATGTATTTACATATATTTTTTTTTCATTTATATATATATATTAATTATATTTATTGTTTTTTATATATTTTTCATTGTGTGAATAAAGTGAAAAAATCTAAATTTTTTTCTTAGTTCTAGGATTAAGAATGAAAAACAATGGTATGAAACATACTTAATTTTTGGTGTAAATTATATGTAAGACTATGTTTCTTTATAATGTGTGTTTCTAATAATTGAATTTACATTTTTTTTAGTAATCGAAACCTCTTTCTATGTCCACATGTCCCAATTTACAATATATATATTACACATTAACTTATGAATTACAGCTGGTGCAATGACATAGATAGATATAAATGGATTGAAGATATAAAAAAAATATTTTCACAAATTTGTTCAATTATAAAGTTATTAACCAAAGTTTATTTGTAGTACTTAACTGTCTATATGAAATAATAAATTTATCCCATTTGTCTTTTAAAATAGTTGATATAAAATGAATAATTAGTAATTTTTTTATGAAATAATAAATTTATCCTATTTGTTTTTAAAAATATTTGATATCAAATAAAAAAGTAGTAAAGTAAACGAAGCAATAAAATAGTTGATATAAAGTTATATGGCTCTTATTCTAATTGATATATTTTATATAATTTTTTTAATAAATAACTTTCTCATCTTACAAAAATTTGACATAAATAAATTTTGATATGTCTAAACTCTGTTCTGAGTTTTTTTTTTAATTTAAGAACCTACTAAATAAAATATTTAATTTATTTTTTATTCAATTTCTTTCTCTATTTTATATTTATCAGTTGAAAAATAATATGCATAAGTTACTTATATTATTATGATGGGAAAAATACTAATTATTATGATAAAAATAAGTTGAAAGGATTCAAAATCATTTAAACATTTATTTTTCAATTAAATGAATCAACACAATAATAATAAATAAATAAACAAATACATTTTTCAAGGTTTAAATTAAAAATTAAAATTTGTTTAGATTTTTGTAAATATTAAATATTAAAATAATTATTATATATAATAAACTTATTTATGTTTTTTGAATAAAAGATTTTTTTAATTAATTAATTATTTTATTTAAATATTAGTTTATAATATATAAAATTGATGTTATTCTATTAGAAAAATATAAAGAAACGTGTGTTTAATTTATATATAAAAAAAACGACGTAAACGTGATTTCATTAAAATAAGTTGCATGTCTATTTTTAAAATAGAGAATGCGACTCACATTATAGGCAAATGCAATTTATTCTTAGAATTGTTATTTTAAATTTTTTTCTTCATTTTTATTCCATGGAACTTCTAAAACTAATTTTAAAAAATTATAAACATTATAAAATTTAAAATTATATTTGATATAAGATTTTAATTAATTCTTAAATTACTTTTATTAATTGAAAAATAATTTAACCTTGTTAGTTGAAAAACAATTTAACCTTATTAGTAATATTTAGTAAATTATTGCTTTTTAGTTTGTAACATAACATATTTTAAAAATGTTACTTGAAATAAATAAATAAAAAAGTTTCTTTAAGGAACATTAATTAAAACACATTTTTATCTTTTTATTTGTTTTATTTTTATTTTAAACTATTTATTGAGTTTTCATTTATTCATTTTTGTATAACTTAATGTTTTACTGAATTTGTTTACTGTTTTTTATAATGAGATATAATTTTAAATAAGATCTAATTTTTTTATTTTCCAAATTTTATTTTCAAGAATAATAACAATATATATATATATATATATATATATATATATATATATATATATATATATATATATATATATTACATGTTATAGTTTTATTAAATTTTGTATGCGACATTTTCTCATCTTCATATTTTTTTAGGATGAACATTAGTTAATATTATAATATTTTTTTATATGTTGTATTACACTACTTATTATATTTGTAGTATTTATTTTATTATTTTTACATTAGAGTTCAAAATTTTAACATATATAAATAATTTTGTTTTTTATATTTGACAAATTTGTAATCATCACAAAACAAAATGAAAGGTAATATCTGTTAAAAAGTTTGATAATATTATTTAAAAATTTATATAAATAAATATTAAAATATCATCTAAGATGAATAGTAAAATACACAATATAATAGTACAATAATTAAAAGTTAAAATGATTAAATTATAAATAAACATCATTAAAATTAAATTAAAAAATTAACATTATAAATACTTCATAATATATTATATGAAAAAAAAATAATATAATATGTGATTTTGAAACGCCAATCAGTGAAACATGAAATCAAAATCAACCAATAAGTACATTAAATTTGAAATATTATATAACGTTAATATATATTTTTTGTGTTTGTGTTTGAATAGTCAAGTTATCAAATATATATATTTTTGCTTATTAATTTACAAATTTGTGTATGTAAATCTAAATATTGCCACTCTAATCTTAAATAACAATTACATATTCTTTTAATATACTTCATAGGGAGAGGAATATGTTTTAATTTTTGAACGAAAAAATAAAAACAAAAGGAGTATTACATAAAAGGGGATTTGATGTCCATATTAACCATGAAATTCGGCCCAAATATTTCATTAAAATTTGGGTCTGGGTGAGATTCATTGGCCCAATTATTAAAAAAAAAAAAGAATAAAGAAGATCGGCGATGGAAGAAGAAAGCACACAGAAAACACAAAATGTTAACGGAAGGCATAAGCTTAGGAACAACGCACCCAACATAAAATAAGGACACGGATCAATGACATGGCAATAAATTTAAATTCCCGCCTAAACCCCTGACCCCCTTTGATTTCATTTCGTTTGCAATTGAATTTCAATTTGTCCATGGGCTTAATATCTCCCCGCATTTGTGATTAGCCTTATGTCATAGTATATCATATCATATCATTCCCCTCATCTTTCTCTATCTCTTCTTCTCTCCACCCAAACCCTAACTCCCAACCCTATTCCCTTCCATCCGTACGTAACCCCTTCATTTTTTTCCTGGTTTTTCATCTATTTTTATTTGTTTCAATCGCTTTTCTGCGAATTGAGGCTGATAACACTAGTTATTGCAGCATCCATCATGAAAGGAGGCAAGTCGAAAACCGAATCTAAGAGAGCCGATCCCAAGTAAGTTTTTTTTTTTTTTTTGGTTTTTTAATCTAACTTTTATTCTTTATTTTTCTTATGATTCAACGATGCATACGGTGAAATATGCGATAAAGCTAGAGTTCATGTCCTTCCTGATTTCAGATCTGAGATCTCTGTTTTGTACTGTGATTAATCTTAGATTTGTTTCTTCTGTTATTGTGGTTTTTGATTCTATCGATTATGTTTGGAATTTCAGACTTGCCGTGAATAAAAAGGGCGCCGCCACCAAGGCTAGGAAACCAGCCGGCAAGGGGAAGGCTGCAAAAGACCCTAACAAGCCAAAGAGGCCTCCCAGTGCTTTCTTTGTTTTCATGTAATTGTTATATTTTTTTTCTTTTTATTGTTTACGATCCATTTGTATTTTCAATTTTTTCTGTTCTGTTTCTGCTGAATATTTCCTGCGTCAAAACTTTTATCTTTGACCAATGGAATGATTTTATTAATTTGTTTTGGATTTTTTTGCTTTAAAAATATATGAAGTTGAATAGTTATACACGTTGACTATCATAGATCCAGGTTCCAATCAGCTTCCCTTGATTATTATTCGGCGTAATATTTTACGACATGATGTTATTGTATATTTGTTTTATGATTGTTTTCTGAAAATTCTTTTATTATTAAAGGGAGGAGTTTAGGAAGCAATTCAACAAGGAACATCCTGACAACAAAGCTGTGTCTGCAGTAAGTGTTTTCATTTATATGATTTTGAGATTGCATCGTATACAACTAGTTCTCTTTAGTTATTTATCTAATTAAACTTTTCAGGTGGGGAAAGCTGCCGGAGCAAAATGGAAATCGATGACCGATGCTGTATGTAGTGAATTGTTTCTTGATTATACACTATATGCTGGGGTGGGTTTTGGCATGTTATTTAAATTCTGGCTTACTCTTTAGGAAAAAGCACCATATGCTGCAAAGTCTGAGAAACGGAAGGTAGAGTATGAGAAGAGCATGAGAGCCTATAACAAGAAACAGGTTGGTTCATATCTGGTGGTGTTTTCTTTTTATATCAAGGCAGTGGTGGCATTTGTTTAATTTTTTGAGCAATTAATTGTTCTCACATACTTTTGTTTATGCTGGGTGTTGTCAGGCGGAAGGTCCTACTGGTGGAGATGAAGAAGAATCTGAGAAGTCAGTATCTGAGGTGAATGATGAGGATGATGATGAGGAGGGCAGTGGCGAGGTTTATTTTTATACTTTTTCATCATTGCCTTGTGGTATTTTTTTTTTGCAGTGTGTTTATTATGTTGTTTATTCCCTGCAGGAGGAGGATGACGATTAGAAAGCGGACTGATAACCATTTATGTAGGTTTTGATGATTTGGATCATCTTTTGTAGGTGGTCTGGTCATTTCCTGATAAACATATTTCTTGCTTCCAGAAAATATTTCCCTGCTCCCTCCGTAAATTTGTTTTGTCTGTCAAGAACGTGAATAGTTGAAAGATGGGAGTTCTTTATTTGTACTTTTAAATCCAACTGTTTAGTTAAGGGGTGTTTATCTTTTGTAGAGCTTTTAGTTTGATTTAGTTTTCTTGTTGAAATCCGGTTAAGTTTGTATGAATATAATTGGCTTATCATTCCATTTCTGCTGTATATATATGCTATCTGTATTTTGTTTTTATGCTTGGCATGGTGTCGTGCTTGAATCCATGCTTTTCTACTGCTGCTTTGTTGTCTTTAAATGCGTGTATTTGTTTTGATTTTATTGCATGTGTTTTGTCTAGTTTCCAACTGTGAATGCCACCGGGTTTTCCTGTTGAATGTTGAACTGTATTAAAGTCGTTTTGAATTAATGGTTGAAAATCTCGATGCCTTTTTTTTAAGATTCAATTGATGAAAAATAATAAATAACCTCATATGTTGAGATTTTGATGAGTTCTTAAAATACATTTGATAAGTTGATATTTCAAATGTTGGAATCCACATTAGGTTTAGTGTTGATGATATGTTTGCATGTATAACAAACTTCGGCATATTGTAAACTGCTGATGGTTAGTCTTTTGACAGTATTTTCTGTCTTGATGAGTTTGATTTGATAGGATTGAAAATTGTGATTCTGAACAGCGTTAATCTTCAGGTTATCATAATGTTCACACACATACCATTTTGAAGTAATTTTATTCTTTATTCAACGTTTCTTCAATACTATTGACAACACTTTGTTGGTTTTGATATGTTAAGATAGGTCGAAGGTATTAGGTTGCTTTGCATGGTATTTGTTGAATACTAGGAAACTAAAAGGAAGTATGGATTTGGATAATTTTAAAAGTACATTTAATATCGTTTCTTGGTATTTTTTCAATGCCATATTCTTTCATGTCTTTGGAATTTATCGATAGTGACAATAATTATGCGGGGTCGTTTACGAGCCATCAACATCGTTGTTCATATTGAAAACTAAGATGATAAGGTGTTGTTTGTTCTATTTCATGTATTTTTTTGTTGTTGACATTTGTATTACTAAATAAATATAGCTATTTCATATCCATGAATGTAAAATTTGTTATTATATTTGGGAATATGGCCGTTGGACATTTAAAATGCAGTGATATTTCGTCCCTAATTATTATGGTTTTGTTTTGTATTTAATGTGGTTTGATGATAGATTTAAACTTGGTGTTTTGTGTCTACAATATTATTGTGTACATTAAATATTTACTATCAGTGTTATGTAGGGAATAAAGTTTAATAACTTAATAAAATCCATCAGAATAAATAAAATGGAATATTATTCAGTGATATGTTTCAAGTGAAATATAATATCGTTGAAGTATGCGGATAAATGTCTACAAAATTTAAGGGAAATAAATTTACATCTATATTGTTTTATTTTGTCTTAGCAGAAGATTATTTAATACTTGTATTCAAATTAGGAAAGAGTTTTAGACTACAATGTTTTTTGAATTGATTATTTTTTTCAACTTTAAGAATTAAATATCTTTGTAGCTTAGTTATATTATACTTATTAGATTACATTGGTTGTGTTATGCAATTTTCCTTTATTACAATAAAATTAATTTATTCATGTTATAATTCTTTGCATGTAAATATTATTTAAGTCATTTTTCATTTTGTTTATTTATATTCTATTGTTATGTTCAAATCATCTGTATCTTACACGTAAAATCAGCACTACTACCTTTGGATTTTAAAAATTATATAATTTTACAGTATTAGTTAAGTTTGTTCTGTGTTTATAGATTGTTTTTAATATTATGTTCATATATTTGTTATTTAAATTTTAATACATTTATTTTTAGTGAGCAGATATTGACTAAAAAAATGTTGAAAGCTTAATAATTTTATTCTGCAGTAAATAGCAGTTTAACAATCGCATATTTTGCTTATCACAATCATGATGATTATCAATGTCTCCCCTAGTCCATATTATTTCACCAATTTTGCAACCTTTTTAAATGAAGACTCTTAATAGGTTAATAGTTTATTTTTTTAATTTCTGTAAAAAAAAAGAACATATATCTAACATTCTGAAATTGAATTTGCAGATATTATTATTTTTTAAAATAAGATTCAGGATAAGAATCACTTTAAAATTAACATCTATGTTATGAAGAAAGAGACATATTAGGAAAAAATCATTTCAATAAGATGTTTTCATAGTTTAGTTTTTTTTACTAAGAAGTCATTTAAATTAAATGTAAAATATAAACGTGATATTTATAAAAAGTCATTAAAAAGTTATTAAATATATTATAATAATTCTTATAACAAAAATATATATTTTAATTTATTTCATGTACTTCTACATTTATTTAAAAAATAATAACATATACTCTAAATTAGAAGATATTTATTTGTGATAAATTTTGTTTTATGTTTTAATTTTAATTATTTATATAATAATTTTGGTTTGAAATTGTGGTTGATTTGTAAAAAAAACTGAATCGATTAATTCTAAACAATTCTAATAAAAAAATAATTTTAATAGATTTTTAACTTTTTTTTTATATCAAATTTTAAGATTGATCTGATGTTAAACCCTAGAAAAATTATGAAAAAGTTGGAGCATCAAAGTAAATTTATCTCATAAATCTTCTTTAATGGATGTCAAGAAACTTTCTATTAGTAGTGGTTAACGTGATTTCAACTATAAAAAAATTTACCACCCAATATTTAGGAAGTAATATTGAGGTCAGATATATATAAGAAAACACATCCAAGTTTGCATAATGAATGCATGCATTTTATATTTACATATTTTTGTGGGAAACCTTCATGAGAGTCGAAGACAATAAGGATAAAAGTTAAAAGTTATAATTGATAATGGAATTGTTAGGAGAACAATTCAAGTTTCCAATTTTATATTTTTAGGAAATTGTTTATAAAAAGATCAGAAGAGTTTTAATGAAGTAAATGAATGTAATAGTCAGTAATAGATTCTAAGGTGTTTGTTTGCCTTATTTTGATGGATGGGTTTGTGTTTAACAATTCTTAATGTTTCAAATCAGTAATTTATTAATAAACATACGTTTAAATTTAAATTAAATTTGTATTTAACATATCATAAGGATCGTAAAATAATAGATTAAGTGATACTTAGTATAGTGGAAAAAATTATAGTTTTTGTCAGATAATTTATTATTTTTTGATATAGTCAATTTAATCTAAAAATTTATTTAATTTGTTATGCATTATATACTCTATTATAATTACTGATTATCTCTATTTGAAACTTATAAAACTAGAACTTAAAAAAAAAAAATCATATGAAATACATCCGTTATTGTCGATATTTATTTTAGAATAACATTATTTTTCAATAAGCTGTTCAAAAAATCAGTGAGTCTATCCTAAAAAAAAAAGGCATGTCAAAGGCTAATAGAGAATTGGCAAATTTTATGGTTTATATTTACATTAATACTCTGACATAACTTTTTTGTGATAAATAATACATAGTGCTTAAACATTATCTAATGACATTATAATTGCATATAACTAACTATTAACATTCTATGTCTTCTCTTTCATCATGTTTTCTTCCTATTTCTTCCTTTCACCTCAAAATAAAAGTTGAATGAAATTGGTGTAGGCCATTTGCACATTGCTTGGAGCTTGTTATATCATAATTGTGAATACTACTTTACTTTATTACAAAAGAGGCATATCTAGCTAAAATCTAATAGCTTTTTTGACTTATCATTTTCAAGAAAGGGATAATCTGTATATCCAACAATGGGATCACTGGTGTAAAAAGTGCTTCGGTCAGGCTTGTTCAACTCAGCATCCAGTTCAAATCTCCTAGGAAGATCTGGATTAGCCAAAAACAGGCGTCCATAAGCCACCAAATCTGCACCACCATTGGCAATCACTTTGTTTCCACCACTCTTATTGTAACCACCAGCAACAATAAAGGTTCCACCAAATGCCTTTCTGATAGGCAACAGGGACACATTGGTCTCATGCATTTCAAACATTGTAAACATCCTTGGCTCAATCACATGACAATAAAGAATGTCCAATTTTCTTAAGGATTTCGCCATATAAATGCCCAATGCTTTAGGGTCAGAGTCTTTACAATCACAATAATTAGAAAAAGGAGAGAGTCTAACACCAACTTTGTCTGCTCCAATCTCATCAACTATAGCCTTCACAACCATCAGTGGAAATCGACAACGATTTTCTAAACTACCTCCATATTCATCATCTCTGTCATTCACATGGTCTTTCAAGAACTGGTCAAGTAAGTATCCATTGGCTCCATGTATCTCCACACCATCAAAGCCTGCATATAAATAAGATTTTTTGCATCACCTTATTCATTAATATGACAGTTTTTAACAACAATGTTGCATTAAATCATTGAATAGAAATATATAGTTGTTGAAAATCTAAGTATGAGTGAGAATTCATAGTAATTGAGTAGGAATGGGAAAGATAGAACGAAAGATAACAAAAAAATCGTAAGGTTTTGATTCGAATGTGTCAAAGGTTTTGACTCGTGTCTATTTGTAAGAATCTTTTAGTAACTCAGAAATTTCTAACAATAATTTAAGTTCTCTGGTATATCACATGCAATGATGTCAAGGTACATTATTTGAATGAAAAACTTGAATAAAGCGAAGGTTAATACCAGCTTCTATGGCATTTCTGGCTGCCATTCTGAAGTCATTGACAATCATAGGTATTTCATCGGTTCTGAGACGACGTGGAGACGGGTATTTGGTGCTGTTGCCTTCAATTGCCTTGTTTGTGCTTGAAATTGGGGGTTGCCCATTTGGCTGATATACTGTTCAATATATGCTATCAATTTATGACATCATT